GGTAACCCCCTCCCCCACGTGTCTTGGGTGGGGAGGGTAACCCCCTCCCCCACGTGTCTTGGGTGGGGAGGGTAACCCCCTCCCCCACGTGTCTTGGGTGGGAAGGGTAACCCCCTCCCCCAACGTGTCTTGGGTGGGGAGGGTAACCCCTCCCCCACGTGTCTTGGGTGGGGAGGGTAACCCCCTCCCCCACGTGTCTTGGGTGGGGAGGGTAACCCCCTCCCCCACGTGTCTTGGGTGGGGAGGGTAACCCCCTCCCCCACATCTCCCAAATTTGGGTCACGTGTCTTGGGTGGGGAGGGTAACCCCTCCCCCACGTGCCTTGGGTGGGGAGGGTAACCCCCTCCCCCACGTGTCTTGGGTGGGGAGGGCAACCCCCTCCCCCACGTGTCTTGGGTGGGGCCCCCGTTCTCCCCCCACGTGCCTTGGGCTGGGAGGAGTGGGGAGGGTGACCCCTTCCCCCACGTGTCTTGGGTACTACTACTACTACTACTACTACTACTACTACTACTACTACTACTACTACTACTACTACTACTACTACTACTACTACTACTACTACTACTACTACTACTACTACTACTACTACTACTACTACTACTACTACTACTACTACTACTACTACTACTACTACTACTACTACTACTACTACTACTACTACTACTACTACTACTACTACTACTACTACTACTACTACTACTACTACTACTACTACTACTACTACTACTACTACTACTACTACTACTACTACTACTACTACTACTACTACTACTACTACTACTACTACTACTACTACTACTACTACTACTACTACTACTACTACTACTACTACTACTACTACTACTACTACTACTACTACTACTACTACTACTACTACTACTACTACTACTACTACTACTACTACTACTACTACTACTACTACTACTACTACTACTACTACTACTACTACTACTACTACTACTACTACTACTACTACTACTACTACTACTACTACTACTACTACTACTACTACTACTACTACTACTACTACTACTACTACTACTACTACTACTACTACTACTACTACTACTACTACTACTACTACTACTACTACTACTACTACTACTACTACTACTACTACTACTACTACTACTACTACTACTACTGCTACTGCTACTGCTACTGCTACTGCTACTGGCTACTTGCTACTGCTACTGCTACTGCTACTGCTACTGCTACTGCTACTGCTACTACTGCTACTAACTGCTACTAACTGCTACTAACTGCTACTAACTGCTACTGCTACTACTACCACCACCACCACCACCACCACCACGACTGCTACCTCGACCACTACCGCTGCGGCTACCTACTACTACTACTACTACTACTCCTACTACTACTACTACTGCTACTACTACTACTACTACTGCTACTACTACTGCTACTGCTACTGCTACTGCTACTGCTACTGCTACTGCTACTGCTACTATTACTACTACTACTACCACTACTACTACTACTACTACTACTACTACTACTACTACTACTACTACTACTACTACTACTACTACTACTACTACTACTACTAGGCGTGACGTTCTTAATTGATCGCAGGGGTTTTGTGGCATGCCATTTTCGTGTTAAGAGCCGAAAACCTCGGTATTTACAGTGTTTCCTGGCTTTGTCCGTTTACGGACACGAAAAATGGACGTGTAAAAAGTCCCGCAAACTACTTTCAACTACTTTAGGCACAGGAGGAAAACATCGGTATTTACAGTGTTTTCGGGCTTCAAAAACGGTCAATTACAGGGCCTACTTTGCGCATACGTGTTCTCAGAACAGAGGAAAAGACCGGTATTTACAGCGTTTCGCGGGTTTTCTAAGATGTGGCCACACTTGTCCTTAAACCCGAACGCCTCCAGCAAGCCGAACAGTCGTGCACCCTGAAATCCGAAACCCCAAAACCTGAAGCAAGCCCAAGAGTCGTGCACCCTTAAAATCTCAACCCCAAATCCCAAAAAAGCCCAAAAGATCCCTAAACCCTCCACTGTGAATCCCAAAAAAGCCCAAAAGATTCCTAAACCCTGCACTGTGAGCCCAAAAGGTCTTACCCTTACACCCTGAACCCCAAATCCCAAAAAACCCGAAAAGGTCTCTACCCTGAAGGTCCAAACCCTAAACCCTCCACTGTGAGCCCAAAAGGTCTTGCCCGGAAACCCTCCACTGTGAGCCCAAAAGGTCTTGCCCGGAAACCCTAAACCCCAAATGCCCAAAAAACCCAAAAGATCTGTAGCCTGAAAAAAACCCAAAAGATCTGTAGCCTGAAACCTCAAACCCCATATTTCCAGTGGAAGCCCAAAAGGTTCCCAAAACAGGCCCGAAAAATACTCTACCCTGAAACCCCAAATCCTCAACCCTCCACTGTGAGCCCAAAAGATCTAGCCCCTAAACCAACCAAAAAAACAGAGGAAAACAGTAGACAGCGTGGTCATGTGTGCACAAAGCACAGCACGACCCCCATGTGTGCACAAAGCACAGCACGTAATTCCCCCCCCCCCCCAACCCCTGAGCGTGGTCATGTGTGCACAAAGCACAGCACGTAATTACCCCCCACCCCCCCACCCCCCCCCAACCCGTCAAACGGAGGAAAAACAGGAGAAAACGATAGAAAAAGTAAAAAAACAGCAGAAAACACCATGATCAGTTAAGAGCGTGTCACCTACTACTACTACTACTACTACTACTACTACTACTACTACTACTACTACTACTACTACTACTACTACTACTACTACTACTACTACTACTACTACTACTACTACTACTACTACTACTACTACTACTACTACTACTACTACTACTACTACTACTACTACTACTACTACTACTACTACTACTACTACTACTACTACTACTACTACTACTACTACTACTACTACTACTACTACTACTACTACTACTACTACTACTACTACTACTACTACTACTACTACTACTACTACTACTACTACTACTACTACTACTACTACTACTACTACTACTACTACCTGGTACTCCTGCTGCTGTTGTGGGTATGCATTCCTACCTCAACCCTAAACCCTAAAACCTTAAACCTTAAACCCATTGCGCAGGCAAAGCAGAAACTTGGAAAGCGGCTCAGGGACCGCGACGCTGTCGTGGATGTGGGAGCAGGGCAGCATGCTCGAGCTCTTGTGGGCATGGTGCCAACCGTGACAGCGACCAGAGGAGCCTCTCGGGCGTCGCTCGCCTCATCCCTGGGGATTTTGGGCCGTCACGGTCTCGTCCGCTTCTAGGGGGTTGTCATGGTCTCGTCCGCTTCTAGGGGTTTTGGGCTGGCATTAAGTTAGAGCACTTGAACCCCTGATGTCATGGCCCCCGCCTGCCAAGCCAGGTATTACCTTCCAGGGCGACACCGATTTATGACCTTGCGAGAGATGGCAGGCCTTCAAGGACTACTACTACTACTCCTTCTAGTACTACGTACTGCTACCACTACCACTACCACTACCGTTGGTTCCGCTGCATGTGTGGAGGAGTGATGCCTGGCATTTGGAACGCAATGGCGACGTCGGGGGTCAGCGACTCTCAGCTTGGGCGAGCTTTGGGCAACAGCATACCCACTTGTGTGCTGGAAAGGGTGCTGCGGCAGGTCTTCTTGTGGGCCGGCTATATCTCCGAGCTTCCGGCTGACAACTGGAAGCAGTGTGTTGAGAGCATCGAAACAGATGGCGTGCCCGACAGCGTGTACCAGCGCCTGCAAGGCCGTCTGAGCAATGGCAAAGGCGAGAAGTGACGGGATCCCGACAGCGTGTACCAGAACATGCAAGGCCATCTGAGCAATGGCAAAGGCGAGAAGTGATGGGTGGGCGCAGCGCTACGAAAGAGCGTGCGAGGGTTGGGGTTGGAGAGCACAGATACGCCCTTCCCCCTGAGCGCAAGACAGTAGATTAATCGTGTAAGTCAAGATCAACCATCAACATGAGAGAAGCGTTCATGTGTCTAATCCCTTCCCCTGATACTAACCCCCCTAATTCTAAATATTGTTTGTCCCGGACCGCACCAGCACCCAGCCCATTACCAAACCTGTGATAATGGGGGGGGGGTTGAGGGGGTTTCAAGGTTTAGGGCTGAGGGCTTCGAGGGTTTCACTCGGGTTTATTAAGCTACTAAATGAACCCTAAACCCCAAGCCCCGAACCGCAGACTCCCTCCTTGGGCCTGGTTTTCCGGTTTCAGGGTTTTGGCCCCGCCTTAAATATTTTCCGGCCCAAGCGAATTTCAGAATTGGGGGGTGGGGGTGGGTTTTAGTATCATCTCAGTAACAGTCATGATGGACAAGGTCCCTCACCCTGAAGCCAAGACCCCAAACCAAAAGCGTGGAGGTGACCTTGCCAGCAGCTGCCCGGCAACCCTGCGCGTCCGGATTGGCATCCTGGAGAGGACTTTGCTTGAGGGCCTGGTGTTTTCGGGTAGGCGCTAGGCAATTTCAATAGTCCCTGAGGGTTTATTGCAGGGGAGATTAGGGTTTAGGGTTTTAGGGTTCAGGGTTTGGGCCTTATAGGTTTATATCGGTTTAGGGTTTAGTGTTTTGTTTAGGGTTTAGGGTTTAGGGTTTAGGGTTTAGGGTTTAGGGTTTAGGGTTTAGGGTTTAGGGCAACCCAAAGCCTTAACCCCTCATCAGGGCAGCGACATGAGTTGTCACCACACTCCAAACCAGAAGACCAAATCCAAGTTCAAAAACCTGAACCAACCTAAAGTTTCTGAGGGGCTTCTGTGCTTTTGGGGGCGTGGGCGTGGTGAGGCCGTGAGAACAATCAGGCACCCCATGAGTACTTCTAGAGCGTTTTAAGGAATGAGAGGCTGCGTAGCGTTGATGATTCAGGGTTTGGGTGTTGCTTTGGGTTGAGTGTCATGTGGTAGACATGGACCGATGACGCGTGTCCGTAGCGCCTACATCCAATCAAGTGAGCCTCGGGATCACCGCTGCGCTTGGCCACAATGGCGCAGACTTGGTTCCATGCCATGACCAGCAGCGGCAGCCTGGAGATGTACATGAAGAACCTCGAGTTCCATGTTTCCATGGAGGCTGCCATCAAGGACCAGATCAAGCACGTTGGCCGAAAGTTACCTGGCTGCGGATAACCCTAAGCCCGGAACCTGAAACCCTCGACCAACCCGAAGCCCAATCCTGCGAAACCCAACCCTGACAGTAGTCCTGAGGGTTGGTGTGGATTGGTCTGCGAAGCTGCAGAAGCCAAAGACAAGCATGGTGGCGTACAGCTTGCTGACGAGCAAGGTTTTTTTCCATCATTTCTCTGTCTGTGGAGGCTATGCAGGGCCGAGTCGAGGATCGCACAGTCATCCTGACCAATTCTGGCACCATGAAGGTGCCACAGCTGGATTTCAGCGAGTGTAGCTGGGCCAACATCGAGGTGTCAAAGGTCAAGCTGGACGTGGTGTGCGTTCCGATCGATGATCCGAAGAGTACGGTGTACACATGGTACATGGCTGGCTCAGCGGAGACGCGGCGTGTGGAGACTTTGCTCAAGAGGTCGGTCTCATTGCATAAAAAAGTGTTTAGCCCTAAGGTTGGGTTCATTAGGCAGGGTGTAAGCTGCTCGTGGGAGGCACCTGAAAACCCACCTGGAGACAGTGAACGAAGCTGCGATCCTGTGGCCACGTCTTGAGCCTTTGGCAATGCTCCTCTGGGTCACCGAGCCAGAAGACCTGCCGGGGAAGAAGCCGCTGGACACGACCCTAAGCCCTAAACCCTAAATCCCTAAATCCCCAAACCATGCCCGCCGTCATGGCCATTTAGTCAAAACTCTAAACGCTCTAGAGCCTAAAATCGCAAACGCGTTGCCCCAAACGAAATTAAAGCACCTGTGCTGCCCAGGTACATGCTCAAGGTGTTTGGGCGCAATGAGGGGCCCGTCGGGAAGTTCATCCACATCGAGAAGTCGCCCATTGCGGCGTCCTGACCAAAGTATAGAATATGTAAAGCAGTTTTGGGGCTGGTGCTGGTTTTGTTAACCTTAACCCTAAACCCTTACCCCTAAACCCAAAAACCCAAAAACCCTAAACCCACAACCCGAGGCCTTTTGGTATGCTCCCGGGGACCAGCTGCCGCCAAGCACTGGCACGGTGCAAGTGAGCGTGATGATGACAACGTTAACGACCAAGCGCCAGGCTGAGGTGATGAGCGAGGTGGACACCGAGTCCCGTGCCAAGCGCATGAAGAAGCTCAGTGCAGACATGGGCAATCACATGGACGAGCTTCGATGGTTCCTCTACGAGTACGGCGATGCTCGCAAGGATGCTGCTGGGAAGGTCGACAACTCTGCCGAGGAAACTGCGCTGCTGCGAGATGCCAAGACAATGGTGAAAATCATGGATGAGACGATGGGCGGAGCCGGCAATGTGGCAGCAGGCGCGGCGACCCGCGGAGACGGCACGGCGAGCGCGGCGAGCGTGGAGAGCGCGGCGAGCGTGGCAAACGAGTCGGAGAACGGAGCTGAGTGATTTTCCAAAGTTGATTTGCTGCGTGTCCCCGGCCGCCCGGCAGGGTGTTGGTGGCTAAGTGTGCTCAACCTAAACCTGTAACCCTACTTTAGTAGATCTGCTGCCCGGGCCGTTGCTGACATGCAAAGCTAAGCGTCTCTGAGACGAGTGCTTGGATCCGAGTTTTTGACTGCAGAAAAAGGTATTCGAGGCTTCGCCTGCTTCCATAAACCCTAAACCCCCAGAAAAACCCAGGCTTTAGGGCTCGGGGTCTAGGTTTACTTCAATGACTATGGGTCCCTAAACCCATTTGGCTAAACCCTATAAACCCTAAACGCCCAGAAAAACCCAGTGAGGGATGGCCAGGGCTTAGGGCTCGGGGTCTAGGTTTACTTCAATGGGTCCCTAAACCCATTTGGCTAAACCCTATACACCCTAAACCCCAAGAAAAACCCAGTGAGGGACGGCCAGGGTTTAGGGCTCGGGGTCTGGGTTTACTTCAATGGGTCCCTAGACCATCCTGAAGCCAACTCCTGCAGACCCTACCCTAAACCCTGAACCCAACTGCTGCAGACCCTCTACCCTAAACCCTGAACCCAACTCTTGCAGGAGCTCGCCGGCTGGTGGCAGCATGGAAGTTGCGAGAGAGAAAACAGCTCGCATCCCCTGAGCCCTATGCCCTACACCTAAAGTGACACTAAACCCAAAAACTAGAAAAAAGTATTCACTTTTTTTTTGACATAGACTCAAGGGGCGAGCTACCTAAGCTCAGAATGGCAAGGCGCTGGTCGCCCCGTACCGCGCGTTTGTGCAAGGCGGCCTTCAGGCTCTGCTCGGGTTTAGGGTTTAGGATTGAGGGTTTCGGGTTTAAGGTTTAGGGTTTAGAGTCTGAGCCTAATTCGCGGATACTTAGGAATCTTAAGACTCTGGGACTTCTTCAATCGCTGAGCTGAGTGGGTGTTTTGGGGTTTGAATCTGTGTTTCTGGCGCGTGAGTCCATGTAGGGGGTTTACGAAAATTCGGGGCCCCTCCAATGGCCCCCATATATAGTAGGATGCCCTTTTAATAAGGACCATTAAGTACCCCACCCTAACCCTAAACCCTAAACCCTAATTTCGGAAACCATTGCGCATCTTGAAGCTGGAGTTGTGGCACGTAGTCGTCTGGAGCCTGGCTTCACCGCAACAACATGAGATTGATTCAGGGGGTTTAGGGGGTTTAGGGGTTTAGGGTTTAGGGTTTAGGGTTAAAGGCGCCTGTGTAATTGGTGGTGCTGCAGGGTGGCAGTCCAATAAGAAACTGTAAGCCTCGCAGTGTAGCTTGCACTGTATAGTCATCGCACATGGTATTGAATCTACCTCGCACCATAAAATGACATATTGCAATGTATATGCAATTCCAAGTCATCGCAAAGAAGATACAGAAAGCAACAAATGAGCATGTGATTTTGAGGATGAGGAGGTTAGACCAGGAGTCACAATGTATCGTAGCACATGCCCTATTAAATTCGCAGATGCAGGTGTCGGGCTTGAGCTAAGCAAAAGCTCCTGATCTGCCACTCTTCTTCCTTAGACCCTATAAACCCCAAACCCTAAAACCTAAACCCTAAACCCCAAACCCTAAACCCTAAAACCCAAATCCCATTCTTCTATTGAGTCTCTATGTGTTCGACACGTCCGAAGTCCTCGCAGTACTGGTGCTCGACAGCGCCCCTGCCAGAAGAACTCGGCAACAAGGGTTTAGGGTTTAGGGTTAGGCCTTAACGGTTCACGGTGTATATGGTCAAGGGATTAAGACTTGTACCCGTCCGGTTGTACCCCTAAAGGTTCCCCTTAATAAGCTCTGAATATTGCCCTTCTACTACCTTAAGGGTCTTTCAAAAGAGTCCCCCCAAAAAACCAGGCGCAACCCCTAGAGTGTATATGGGTAGTTCTCGAAATTTCGTTCCCCTCTTTGGGTCCTACATCTAGTGCAGCACCCTTAAAAGAAGTACCGCAAAGGGAATCTAAGTTAGAGAACTACCCATATGGCTTTGGGTTCTAGGGTTGTAGGGCTTAGAGTTCAGCTCGAAGCTCTAAACCCCAAACCCCAAACCGGAAACCCGTAAACCTCAAACCCCCAAACCCCAAACCCTAAACCCTCAACCCTCAACCCTAAACCCTAATTAAACCCTAAACCTACTTTCTTTCCCCAAGCTGCTCTCGCATGGTCTCTGCCCTGTGGCCTGCGGCTCTGCTGCTGGCGTGGTGGCAGCCTTGGCTCTGCAGTTTAGGGTTTAGGGTTTAGGGTTTAGGGTTGAGGGTTGAGGTTTGGGGTTTAGGGTTTAGGGTTTAGGGTTTGGGGTGCAGAGTTTATGTTTCCGAGTTTACAAAGGGTTTGGGGTTTCAAGGATTGGACCTAAGTTCCCTGAGTCTCTTGAACCCTCCCTACCAGCCCCTCATACCTCGAAGCACCGAAACCTCCTCAGCTCCCCATATAATTTCCATGAAGTCCCTCTATATATATATATACATAAATAAATATAAATATATATATATATATTGTTTAGTAATTTATTCTCTATATACCAGCACTCTACGGTTTGGGGTTTAGGGTTTAGGATCCCCCCGGTAGTCGCCTAAGGGCCCTATAGCCTTCATAAGCTCTTGAGTTGGCCGTGTGCCAGTGTCCATGGCGCACAGCGTTGACATGGCCCATGCCTGCCTGGTACTTTCACATGCAGACAATGTTTCTGGGGAAGAACGTCCGGACGAACACCTCTGGAGCAACAATACAGCTTTACGATCGAATTCAACCAATCTTAAGAGTAAACTCTGGCGATATGTTTGCGCCTTAACCGGGTTCAGGGCTCCAGCCCAAATTCCAGAACTCTCACCCTAAACCCTAAACCCTAAACCCTAAACCCTAAACCCGAAACCCTAAACCCTAAACCCTAAACCCTAAACCCTAAACCCTAAACCCTAAACCCTAAACCCTATACCCTAAACCCTAAACCCTAAACCCTAAACCCTACACCCTAAACCCTAACCCTAAACCCTGTGCTTCTTGAGGGTCGCCTGCTGGCTTGGACTGCACCTTGCCTTCGGACTCCTTGCGGCTCGGCTGTTTCGTCTCTTCCCCCGATTTTGAACGCCCTCTCCCCTCTCCCTCTCCCCCCACGTCTTGGTACTTGCAGCCCCGTGGTACCCTTGTTTAGGGTTTAGGGTTTAGGGTTTAGGGTTTAGGGTTTAGGGTTTAGGGCTTAGTGTTTAGGGTAGCCCAGTGGTACCCTTTTCCCTTCTTTGGGTTCTAGGTTCCCTTCTAAAATATCCGACCCCAAAGCGTGCCCTTATGGTAGCATGGTTACTGGGCTACCAAGCAATACACGAATGGGATGTAGGGTAGAAAGTTCCTGCGTTGGGCTTTCGGGCTTGGGAATTGCCATCCCAAAGCACTAAACTCGGACCAGCCCCAAACCCTCAACCCCAAATTTCCGGATGCCTCAAGCGAAACAATCCCGGAGCCCTAAACCCTGAACCCTGAACTCTGAACCCTTAACCCTAACACTAAACCCTTAAACCCTAAACCCCAAACCCTAAACCCTAAACCCTAAACACGCTAAACCCTAAACCCTAAACCCTAAAAACCTAAACCCTAAACCCTAAACCCTAAACCCAGCCAGAGGTCCCGCGCCTGGGTCGCAGCATCCCGCTCCCAGCTGCCAAAGCAGCGCTCCTTAGCCCTGTTTTAGGGTTTAGGGTTTAGGGTTTAGGAATGTTTGGGGTTTAGCGGGTGTTGCTATGACTTTTTTTGTTGTGTTCATTAAGGGTATGTTTGGGGTTTGTTGTGTTTATGGTGTGTGTGTGTGTGTGATGATTTTCTTGGGCGGTACTTTTCGGGTTTGTATGGTGCTTTTATGTTTTTGTTTCTGGATAGGGTTTATGGGGTTTAGGGTTGATATTTGGGGTTTAGGGTTCGGGTCTGGCGGTTAGTTTGGAAGATCTGGTGCACGGTTTAGGGTTTAGGGTTTAGGGTTCAGGGTACCCTAAACCCTAAACCTTGAACCCTAAACCCTAAACCCTAAACCGTAAACCCTAAACCCTAAACCCTAAACCCTAAACGTTTGAGGGTAAGCTTCTGAGCGCGTAGGGTGCAGGGTTGAGGGTCCTGGGGTGTGCTTCTTGTGGAGGCAGTATAGGATTCATCCTCACCAGCCCCCAGGGGTTTAGGGTTTAGGGTTTAGGGGTTTAGGGTTTAGGGTTTAGGGTTTAGGGTTTAGGGTTTAGGGGGTAAAATGCCGTGTAGATGTGACCTGCAGGGGATGCCTTTGAACCCTAAACCAGCTTCAAGACCGAGGCTGTTCCGCAAGCTTCTTCGCTCGCAGGCGTGCCGGTCAGAGATCCCCAAGCCCTAAACCCTAAACCCAAATCCCTAAAGATCCCTAAGCCCTAAACCTTATAAACCCTAAACCCCGAACCCTAAACCCTAAACCCTGGAGATCCCTAAGCTCTAAGCTCCTTGGTTCATGGATGGAACCCGAAACCTTTACGTGAACCAATCCGGGCATTTCGTTCGGAAGCCTCGAGGTGCAGGATTAAAGAGGTCCAGGGTTTAGGGTTTGGGGTTTAGGGTTTAGGGCTTAGGGTTCAGGGTTTAGGGTTTAGGGTTGAGGGTTGAGGGTTTAGGCCAAAGATTGAGGATGCACTGTGGGTCTTAAGGGTTTAGATGTTTCAATCGGATGGGAGTTACACTGAACTTTTCATGCCCATCGCATCGAAGGCCAGAAGCCTGTGATCCTCGTGTCCCGGCCCTAAACCTTCTGAACCCTGTCGACCCTTTACGGCCCATACACCCGAAACCCTGAACCCAAATTCTAAACTCAAAACCCTACATTCCAAGCCCTACACCCTGAGCCCTAAGACCTCAACCCTAAACCCTGAACTCTGAACCCTGAACTCTGCCCTTGAGGTGTACTATGTCGCCGCAGCCCTCGCGGGAATCTACCTCTTGTTCAGCCTGGACCTGCCATGGAAGAGTTTCGTGCTCGCAGACGCGCCTTTGCCCATCCTTGGTGGCTTTACATTTAGGAGGAGCTTTAAGGTTTAGAGGTGCTATGCCTCCTACAAGTTTAATGGGAACATGGCTCATTGGTCGTTAGAATTTACTGAATCCCTCATTCGTGCGTCTTCTGCCCGACGCCCGAAACCCCAAACCCTAAACCCTAAACCCCAAACCCTAAACCCTACACCCGAAACCCGAAACCCTAAACCCTAAACTCCCAAACCGTAGCAAGCAAGGCCTCCGCAGATCCGAACCCCATTCGGGCGATGCTTCTCGGCTCCTCGGTCGCAGCAGGCGTCGCCTTTCGCCGGCTTTTGGGTTTAGGGTTTAGGGTTTAGGGTTTAGGGTTGAGGGTTGAGGGTTGAGGGTTGAGGGTAAACTTTAGGGTTTACTACTATTTCCTTAAGAACCCCAAAAGAACAAAAAACAATAATCCCTATATTGCCCTTAACAAGGAAGAATATGTTTTTTTAAAAAAATTCTTTGGGGGTTCTTAAGCAATTAGTAGTTTAGGGTTAGGGTTTAAAGTTTCGGATGTAGTAGGGTCTAGGGTCTAGGGTACACTTAAGGGGTTTAGGGTTTCGGGTTTTGGGTTTAGGGAAACCTGAGCCCTGAAATGCGTGACTTTTCGGCTGCCTCTTAGGTTCTCCCACTCCGCCCTGGCCTCTGACTGTTGCCGCGGCTGCCGCGGCCGCGCACTGGCTGGTGGCCTTACCTGAGGCCAGGGTTTGTTCAGGATACGTATTTCTATACATATACATATGCATATGTGGATACATCCACACATATAGAAGTATATATATATATATACATATTGTAATAAGCGTTTTGATGATTCGGTGTGTGTTTTTTGTGGAGGGGCTGGGTGGCCGGGGGGGGGGGGGTAGCGGCCGCAGCTTGCTTGGGGTGGTTCTGGGGCGTTGGGTTGGGATGTTCCCCCTTCTACTAACAGTCCTTAAGGGTTTAGGGTTTAGGGTCATAATCACATAGGATTCTAGTACCCTAAACCCTAAACCCTAAACCCTAAGTTCTGTCCGACAGGACTCCTTCGCCTCAGAGTTCCTCCTGGTGCAGTGGCGGCCACTCCAGGCGAGAGAGGGCTTCCAGGGGCTTGGGGTTTGGCGTTTAGTAGGGTTTAGGGTTTGGGGTTTAGGGTTTAGGGTGTAGGCCAGGAGGGAATTGGGTACCTTAGCCAATGAAGGAATTACAGAGGGGCGGGTTTGGGGTTAGGCTGTTTGGCTACACCTTGGAAGTTTAGGGTCCTGATGTCCCCGCGCTACTCCCTGAGGCTCCCTCAGCTTCCCTACTAAGGTTCCCCAGGTACCTACCCCCCATGAACCCCCGCTCCCTTAAGGACCCTGCCCTAAACCCTAAACCCTAAACCCCAAACCCCAAACCCTAAACCCTAAACTCTAAACAACCCTAAACCCTAAACAACCCTAAACCCTAAACAACCCTGAACCCTAAACCCCATGGGTTGAGGGTGTTTATGCTTGCAGTCCGAATCCTTGCTGCCGCCGGCGGCACCGCATGCAGCAGCTCTTAGCCTCCCGACTGCACCTTAGACCCTAAACCCCAAACCCTGAACCCTAAAGCCTGTTTCCCTAAACCCCTAAATCGCAAGCCCTAAACCCTAAACCTAAACCCTAAACGCTAAACCTGAAAGCTTGCAGGTTTGGAGCTTTAGGTTTGGTGGGGTTTAGGGACCCCAAGCCCCAACATCAACCCGAAAACCCTAGCCCTAAGCGCTTTAGCCATATACACCCTAAGGCCTACACCCTGAACATTTCTACCTAAGTCCCCCTAAATCCGTAACCCTAAACCCTGAACCCTGAACCCTGAACCCTGAACCCTGAACCCTGAACCCTAAACCGCTAGTTAGTTTTTTTTTCGGGCCTCTCGGCCCTGGCAGTCCTCCTGGGACTCTTTGGGAGGGTTTAGGGTTTAGGGTTTAGGCCCCAGAGGTTTAAGGAAATTGAGCATTTGGCCTCTCAGGCGCTGTGGATGAATGTACTTAGACTCTGCCTGTCAGCTGTTTAGACAAATAACCTGGGAGAATTCAGAATGATACCACATACAGTTTCTATTCAATTTGTCTTGAGGGCTTAGGGTTTAGGGTTTAGGGCCTAGGGTTTGCGTAGTAGGGTGCAAGATCGATTGTTGCTTCGGGTTTGGGGTTGAGGGTTTGGGGTTTAGGGTTTTGGGGTTTGGGGTTTAGGGTTTGGGGTTTAGGGTTTGGGGTTCAGGGTTTGGGGTTAAGGGTTTGGGGTTTGTCGAAGGGGGATGATGGAGCTGCGTGTTGGTGCTTCGAGTTTGTTGAACGTGTTTGGGGTTTTCCGCTGGGGTCTGCGTGTGTCAGGAAGTCCAAAACTTTCATCCCCGACGCTAAGCCCTTACTAGCAACATCCGGACTCAAACTCTGAGAGCTTAGGGTGGCTGATTGGGATGTTGCCCCTTGTACTAACAATCCTTAATGGGGATTATCAAAGGGTGTACTACAATCCCCATGCAGGACTGTTAGTTTCAGGGGGACCATCCCAAGTTGCTGAACCGTACACCGGGCACTGTACCCTACACCCCAACTGGTAAGTACCCTACAGGGACCCTAATTGGAGTTATCCTACGTATAACTACTCTAAACCCTAAACCCTAGACCGTAAACCCTAAACCCTAAACCCTAAACTAAGTCCTCCGACCCTCCAAGAAGCCCGCACCGTACAGAGCAAGCCGAGGAAGAGCTGCCACCACTCTGCGGTACGTCTACTTTGCAGCTCGGAGAAATGCAACCCCTAAACCCTAAGCCCTAAACCCTAAAAACTAAACCCTAAACCCTAAACCCTGGGTTTCAGGGTTTGGATTTCATTGGTTCACCTGAGGGTACCGAGCATGTCCCGGTTGACTTTAGGAAAGCTACCTGGAGCTTTTAGGTTTCAGGTGGGGTGGTTTAGGTCCCAACCACTGAGCCCCAAACCCCGAAAACCCCTAATTAGACCCTAGGTTTGAGTCAGGCATTTAGGTTTCCAGGGTTTAGGGTTCAGGGTTTAGGGCTTAGATCCTAAGCCCTAAACCCTGAAACCCCTAGACCCTAAACCAAGACCCGGTGCGGGGCTTGCTGGCAGGTTCTTGTCAGGCTTCTCTACCTGCTAAGGAGCTCCACATCAGCAGCTTCTTAACACCTTTGCATGGATTTGCGGTCGTGATCCTTTTGCGGGGTACCTCTTCTTTCTCAATCCGATATCCTGCCCTTGTACTCTAAGCACAAAACCCTACCCCTTTGGTACTCTAAACCCGAAGCCCGTGCACCTAAAACCCTGAACCCTACCTTGAAACCTAAACCCTATAAATCCTTTGTGGTACTTTACTGTAACTTTAGATCTTTACCTTTTTTGGGTTTATTGGGTTTCTTATTAAGGCAGCTAAAAGTTTAATTTATAGCTACCCTCCTGAGTGCAGCCAAGAATCCTAAACCATAAACTCAAACCCTAAACCCTAAACCCTAAATTGCTGCAAGCACTCAATATGAGGTCCATCACGTGCTCGCCGTGGCAGCCTTTGGATGGACGCTGTGGACGTCTGAATTGCCTTCTGGACGCGTCTTAGTAAGGGTTTCGGGTTTAGGGTTTAGATTTATGGTTCAAGGTTTTAACCCTAAACCCCAAACCCTGCCTTTAGATGGTATAGGGCTTGGGGTTGTACGAGGCTGCTCAATCCCTCAAAGAGCACAGGCCTTCCGATGTCAGCCGGCTTCATTCGGGCTCTGGATCTAGGCAATAGGATCGGACGCTGGGGGTTTAGGGTTTAGGGTTTAGGGTTTAGGGCTCAAGGCTCAGGGCTTCAGGGCTTCAGGGCTTCTTGCAACACGCTGGCCTCTAAGGTGCGCCCTGTGTTGCTTTGGGCTGCTCTTTGAGCTGCCAGTGTGCCACACATCTGCAAACCAGACCTCCACCAACCCTAAACCCTAAACCCTAAACTCTAAACCCTAAACCCTAAACGCTAGGTAGTAGCTCTGGGACTCCTTAGGAATCAGACTAAATGAAAATTAGTAGGAATCATTAAAAACTCCTCCATGTTAAAGCAGCAGGCGGCGGGGGGAGGTGGTGGGGAGGGGGAAGTAGATCAGCCACAGGCTTCACAAACCTCCGCGACTTCTATGTCTCGTTCCACGAGGCCGGGTATAGGGTTCAGGCCGAGACCCTACCATAGTAGCTGAGTGAGTACACTTTACGCTTTTTGGGCTAGTATATTCCCCTACAAACTGAAAGTGTACACTTTTTTGGGGCCTTATGAACTCAGCGACTAAGCTATAGTTATTCTCTCAACTTTCAGGGTTCGGTTCCTAAGCCCTAAACCCTAAACCCTAAACCCTAAACCCTATAACTCTAAACCCCAAACCCTAAACCTTTTCAGGGCTTAGCAACAGCGTGATTCCTGAAGGCCCCTGGCTGAAGGCTTCGGTGGGGTCCGGGCAATCTGGGAAAGTCTCAATCTTGAACCCAAAACCCTATGTTTTAGGGTTCAGGGTTTAGGGTATAGGGTTTAGGGTCCTAATCAGCACACCCCACAAGACCCCCTCAACCCCTGAATCCCGTCCCCACAACCCAGCTGTAGCTTCTGGTTGAGGGTTTAGGGTTTAGGGTTAATCCTAACCCTAAACCCTAAACCCTAAACCCTAAAACCTCAATATTAACCCCTTTGCGCTGCAGGAGTTGACCGCGCTATGGGGCCGTCTCTTGGCACTGATCCGCATGCGCCAGGTTTCTTTTCCTGGGTGGGCATTTGAAGGGTTAAGGGTTTAGGGTTTAGGGTTCCCTGGGATCTGTCAAGTTTTCCCTCATCGGGTTTGAGATGGCCATATTCACCCTATACCCTACCTAAACCAGAAGGCTTAAGGGGCCAACCTACCTTTTAGAATCCAGGGTTGAGGATTCTTTGGATTTTAGGGTTCAGGGTTTAGGGTTTAGGGTTTAGGGTTGGGCGTCTTGATGGTTTAGTGTTGTCTTTGCTGACAAGGTCTTGCGGTCTGGGGGCCTGGGGGTTCGGTAACTACTGTTTGCTTAAGAACCCCCAACAGAATGAGACGTATTCTTCCCTATAAGGGGTATAATAGTAAGTACGTAGGACCTTTAGGGTCTATTTGGCACGCCTCTTTTGCCGCCGGGAAATCCCTAGATTTGATTTTTCAAGGATTTCATAAAATTTAAAATGCCCAAGAATCCTTGAAATCCTTAAAACATCAAATCCCGGGATTTAATATTTTAAAAGGATTTGTTGGGCATTTTAAATTTCATGAAATCCTTGAAAAATCAAATCCCAAGATTAAATTTTTCAAGGATTTCAAGGATTTTTTGGGCATTTTAAATTTTATGAAATCCTTGAAAAATCAAATCTCGGGATTTAATTTTTCAAGGATTTCAAGGATTTCATAAATTTTAAAATCCGCGTGGTCTTCCCGTACTCTGGGTGGGGAGGGGAGGTTTTGCTTTTGCAGGAGTTCCGGTATTTAAATTTTATGAAATTCTTGAAATCCTTGAAAAATTAAATCCCGGGATTTGATTTTTCAAGGATTTCATAAAATTTAAAATGCCCAAAAAATCATTGAAATCCTTAAAATATTAAATCCCGGGAATTAGTATTTTAAGGATTTCAAGGATTTTTTGGGCATTTTAAATTTTATGAAATCCTTGAAAAATCAAATCCCGGGATCTAATTTTTCAAGGATTTCAAGGATTTTTTGGGCATTTTAAATTTTATGAAATCCTTGAAAAATCAAATCCCGGGATTTAATTTTTCAAGGATTTCAAGGATTTTTTGGGCATTTTAAATTTTATGAAATCCTTGAAAAATCAAATCCCGGGATTTAATTTTTCAAGGATTTCAAGGATTTCATAAATTTTAAAATCCGCGTGGTCTTCCCGTACTCTGGGTGGGGAGGGGAGGTTTTGCTTTTGCAGGAGTTCCGGTATTTAAATTTTATGAAATCCTTGAAATCCTTGAAAAATTAAATCCCGGGATTTGATTTTTCAAGGATTTCATGAAATTTAACATGCCCAAAAAATCATTGAAATCCTTAAAACAGTAAATCCCGGGATTTGATTTTTTAAGGATTTCAAGGATTTTTTGGGCATTTTAAATTTTATGAAATCCTTGAAAACTCAAATCCCGGGATTTAATTTTTCAAGGATTTCAAGGATTTTTTGGGCATTTTAAATTTTATGAAATCCTTGAAAAATCAAATCCCGGGATTTAATTTTTCAAGGATTTCAAGGATTTCATAAATTTTAAAATCCGCGTGGTCTTCCCGTACTCTGGGTGGGGAGGGGAGGTTTTGCTTTTGCAGGAGTTCCGGTATTTAAATTTTATGAAATCCTTGAAATCCTTGAAAAATTAAATCCCGGGATTTGATTTTTCAAGGATTTCATGAAATTTAAAACGCACAAAAATCCTTGAAATCCTTAAAATATTAAATCCCGGGATTTAATTTTTCAAGGATTTCAAGGATTTTTTGGGCATTTTAAATTTTATGAAATCCTTGAAAAATCAAATCCCGGGATTTAATTTTTCAAGGATTTCAAGGATTTCATAAATTTTAAAATCCGCGTTGTCTTCCCGTACTCTGGGTGGGGAGGGGAGGTTTTGCTTTTGCAGGGGTTCCGGTATTTAAATTTTATGAAATCCTTGAAATCCTTGAAAAATTAAATCTTGGGATTTGATTTTTCAAGGATTTCATGAAATTTAAAATGCCCAACAAATCCTTGAAATCCTTAAAATACTAAATCCCGGGATTTGATGTTTTAAGGATTTCAAGGATTTGTTGGGCATTTTAAATTTCATGAAATCCTTAAAACATCAAATCCCGGGATTTAGTATTTTAAGGATTTCAAGGATTTGTTGGGCATTTTAAATTTCATGAAATCCTTGAAAAATCAAATCCCGGGATTTAATTTTTCAAGGATTTCAAGGATTTCATAAATTTTAAAATCCGCGTGGTCTTCCCGTACTCTGGGTGGGGAGGGGAGGTTTGCTTTTGCAGGAGTTCCGGTATTTAAATTTTATGAAATCCTTGAAATCCTTGAAAAATTAAATCCCGGGATTTGATTTTTCAAGGATTTCATGAAATTTAACATGCCCAAAAAATCATTGAAATCCTTAAAACAGTAAATCCCGGGGTTCGGTTTAGGGTTTTTAGGGTTTAGGGTTTAGGGTAATATCCTTGAAACCCTTAGCAAAAATCAAATCCCAGATTTGATTGTGTAAGGGGTTCATAAAAAGTTAAGATGCCGAAAAAGATTTAAACCCTTTAAAATCAAAACCCTGGATTTGTCTTTTCCAGGATTTCAGACATACCCGCTCATTGCCCATCCCACATCACCCCGCATCATCTCCCATCATCTCCCATCATTTCTCTCATCCCCTATCATGCCCCATCATCCCCCAATCATCCCCATCATCCCCCATCATCCCGCATCATCCGCCATCAACCCCCCCCATCATCATTCCCCATCATCTCTCATAATCCCTTTCACCCCCCCATCATCCCCCATCATCCCTCATCATCGTCCCCGATCGGCCCCTATCATGCCCCATCATGTCTCTCATCCCGCGTCATCCCCCATCATCCCCCATCATCTCCCATCATCCCGCATCATCCCCCATCACCCCCCATCATCATTCCCCATCATCTCCCATAATCCCTTTCACCCCCCATCTTGAGGGGTTAGTGACTGCCCTAGAGGTTAGTCGTATGTCCCCCCTGCTTCGTGTTGTTGTGATTTGGTAGGGGCCCAGAGGTTTGTATGAGTTTTTTTCTTCGTTCGTGTTGTAAGGGTTTTGTGAGGGCCCCGGAGGTTTGTCGCATGTCCCCTTTCTTCGTGCTTGTAGGGTTTGGGGAGTGTCTAGATAATTGTCAAAAACAATTCCTTCCGCGCTCGTACTATGAGGGGCTTGTGGCTGCCCTAGAGGTTTGTCGTATATTCCCCCGCTTCGTGTTCCTGAGATTTGGTAGGGGCCAGAGGCTTGTCATATGTCCCCTCCCTTCGTCCCTTCGTGTTGTGAGGGTTGCATTCGGCCTTGGAGGTTTGTCGTATGTCCCCTTTCTTGGCGTCTAGATGATTGTCATCATAAGTCATTTGCTTCTGTGGTCGTATTCTGAGGGCTATTGACCGCCCTCATAATACCCTAGAGGTTTGTCGTATGCCCCCCTGCTTCGTGTTCCTGTAAGTTGGGAGGGGCCTAAAGGTTCATCTTTTGTCCCCTCCCTTCGTCCCTTCGTATTGTAAGGGTTTCGTAGGGTTTGGGGGGAGCGTCTAGAGTCTAGATGATCGTCATATATGATTTGCTTCCGTGCTCAAACTATGAGGGGCTAGTGACTGTCCTAGAGGTTTGTCGTGTGTCCCCCCCCCGTTTCCTTGGTCTTGTGATTTGGTAGGGGCTTAGGGGTTTGTCATACGTTCCCTCCCTTCGTCCTTTCGTGTTGCAAGGGTTTTGTGAGAGCCCTGCAGATTTGCCGTATGTCCCTTCTCTTCTTGCTTGTAAGGTTCGGGCAGCGTCTAGGTTGCAAGGGTTTTGTGAGAGCCCTGCAGATTTGCCGTATGTCCCTTCTCTTCTTGCTTGTAAGGTTCGGGCAGCGTCTAAACGACTGACATATGCAATTTGATTACGGGCTCGTATTGTGCGGGGCTAGTGACTGCCCTAGAGGTTTGTCGTATGCCCTCCGCTTCCTTGTTCCTGTGATGTAGTAGGGGCCTACAGGTTTGTGGTGTGTCCCCTTTCTTGGCATCTAGATGATTGTCATAAGTCATTTGCTTCTGTGGTCGTATTATGAGGGCTACTGACTGCCCTAAAGGTTTGTCGTACGCCCCCCTGCTTCGTGTTCCTGTGAGTTGGGAGGGGCCTAGAGGTTTATCTTTTGTCCCCTCCCTTCGTCCCTTCGTGTTGTAAGGGTTTCGTGAGCGCTCTGGAGGTTTTTCGTATGTCCCCTTTGTTCGTGCTTGCAGGGTTTGGGGAGTGTCTAGATGATTATCATATATCATTTGCTTCCGCAGTCGCTATGAGGGTATTGATTGCCCTAAAGATTTCTCGTGTGTCCCCCCGCTTCGTATTCCTGTGATTTTGTAGGGGTCTAGAGGTTTGTCGTATTTCCTCTCCCTTCGTTCCTTCGTGGGATGTTTGCGTGTGTCCCCTTTCTTCGTGCTTGTAGGGTTTGGGGAGCCTAGACGACTGATATACATATATATATGTATATATGTATAATTCGATTCCGTGCTCGTATTGTGAGGGGCTAGTGATTGCCCTAGAGGTTTGTCGTATGTCCCCCCGATTCCTGTTCCTGAGATTTGGTAGGGCCTAGGGCCTGGAAGGTTTGCCGTATGTCCCCTCCTTTCGCCCCTTCGTGTTGTAGGGGTTTTGTTGGGCCTTGAAGGTTTGTCGTGTGTCCCCTTTCTTCGTGCTTGGAGAGTTTGAGGAGCGTCGAGATGATTACCATACATCATTTGCTTCCGTGCTCGTACTATGTGCGGTTAGTGACTGCCCTAGAGGTTTGTCGTATGTCCCCTTCCTTCGTCCCTTCGCGTTGTATGGGTGGTAAGGGTTTTGTGAGGGCCCTGGAGGCTAGTCGTATATCCACTTTCTTCGAGCTTGTAGGGTTTGGGGGGAGCGTCTAGAGTCTAGATGATCGTCATATATGATTTGCTTCCGTGCTCAAACTATGAGGGGCTAGTGGCTGTCCTAGAGGTTTGTCATTTGTCCCCCCCGTTTCCTTGGTCCTGTGATTTGGTAGGGGCTTAGAGGTTTGTCATACGTTCCCTCGCTTCGTCCTTTCGTGTTGCAAGGGTTTTGTGAGAGCCCTGCAAATTTGCCGTGTGTCCCCTTTCTTCTCACTTGTAGGGTTTGGGGAGCGTCTAGACGACTGACATATAATTTGAGTCCGTGCTCGTATTGTGAGGGGCTAGTGACTGCCCTAGGGGTTTGTCGTATGCCCCCCCCCCCGCTTCCTTGTTCCTGTGATGTAGTAGGGGCCTACAGGTTTGTCGTATGTCCCCTGCCTTCGTCCCTTCGTGTTGTAAGGCTGATAAAAATTTTCTGAGGGCTCTGGAGATTTGTCGTATGTCCCCCCGCTTCGTGTTCCTGACGTTTGGTAGGGGCCAGAGATTTGTCGAATGTCCCCTCTTTTTGTCCCTTCGTGTTGAAATTGCTTTGTTTGGGGAAGGTTTGTCGTATGTCACCTTTCTTTCTTCTTAGAGGGTTTGGGGATCTTCTAGAAAACTGTCATATATCATTTGCTTCCGTGCTCGTATTATGAGGGGCTGGTGTTTGTCATAGAGGTTTGTCGTATGTCCCCCCGCTTTCTGTTCCTGCGATGTGGTAAGGGCCTAAAGAGGTTTGTCGTGTGCCCCCTCCCTTCGTCCGTTTGAGTTGCAAGGGTTTTGTTGGACCTGGAAGATTTATCGTATGTCTCCTTTCTTCGTGCTTGTAGGGCGTGGGGAGCATCAAGATGATTATCATATAAGAATTGCTTCCGTGCTCGTATTATGAGGGGCTAGGGACTGCCCTAGAGGTTTGTCTTATGTCTCCCTGCTTCGTGTTCATGTGATTTGCTAGGGTCCGGGAGATTTGTCGTATGTCATTTTACCATATACGAAATTAGATACAATCCCTTCGTCCCTTCGTGTTGTAAGGGTTTCGTGAGGGTCCTAGAGGTTTGTCGTATGTGCCCTTCCTTCGTCCCTTCTTGTTGTAAGGGTTTTGTGAGGGCCCTGCAAATTTGCCGCATGTCCCCTTTCTTCGTGCTTGTGGGATTTGGGCAGCGTCTAGATGATTGTCATTATCATTTGCTTCCGTGCTCGTACTATGAGGGGCTAGTAACTGCCCTAGACCTTCAGGGCCCTCACAAAACCCTTACAACACGAAGGGACGAAGGGAGACGACATACGACAAACCTCTATCATCTAGATGCTCCCCAAACCCTACAAGCAAGAAGAAAGGGGACATACGACAAACCTCCAGGGCCCTCACAGAACCCTTACAATAGGAAGGAATGAAGGGAGGCGACACGCTACAAACCTCTAGGCCCCTACCAAATCACAGGATCACGAAGCGGGGGCGTCATCTGACAAACCTCCAGGCCAATCACTAGCCCCTCATAATACGAGCACGGAAGCACATGATATGTGATTATCATCTACACACTCCCCAGACCCTACAAGCATGAACAAAGGGGACATACGACAAACCTCCAGGACCCTCCCAAAACCCTTACAACACGAAGGGACGAAGGGAGGGGACACACGACAAACCTTTAGCCCCCTACCAAATCACAGGAACACGAAGCGGGGGGACATACGACAAACCTCTAGGGCAGGCACTAGCCCTCATAATACGAGCACGGAAACACATCATATGATAATCATTTTGATGCTCCCCCAAAAACCTATATGAACGAGAAAGGGGAAGCACACAAACCTCCAAAGCCCTTACAAAACCCTTACAACACGAAGGGACGAAGGGAGGGGACATACGACAAACCTCTGGTAAATAGTAAACAAAGCGGCGTGCCAAATAGACCCTAAAGGTCCATGCCACATAATAGTAATGGGATTATTGATTTGTCCCTTTTTGTGGGGATGTTTTTAAGAGCAAATAGTAGAGGACGTTAGCACGAAGTAGGCTGTTTTGAAGCTGTTGCTGGCGAGGGAGCGGCTCCTTGTAGAATAATTGTGAGTTCCCGAATCCTAAACCCTAAATCCTAAGCCCATTTGTTGTCCTTTTGGGGATTCTGTTTCATATAAGTAAGAAGGAGGGAGGAAGCTTCAGGGTTGAGGCTATTTTTCAGTAAATGTTTGCAGAGTTTTGGGGTTTAGGGCTTGGGCGATTCTCTTTCCGCGGTGCCATCTGGGATCTGTGGGCTTTTTGGGGGGGAGGGAGAAATTGGCCTACCGAGCTACTACCCTTGTATCCCTTCTTCCCTAGGCTAGGGATCTCATTTATTGTAGTTCCCTGAACCCTAGTTGTTCAGGGTTGAGGGTTTAGGGTTTCGCCATGGGCTTCCACAAGCAGGTTCAGTAGTCGAGGTTCTGCCTCGGTGTCGCCGCGATTCGCTCGCCTTTGGCTGCCCGTCTGCAAGCTCGGTCGCGCCTTGAACCCTAACAGGTTAAACCCTAAGCCTCAAACCTCCAACCCTAAACCCTAGACCCCTATAAACCCTAAACCCCAAGCCCCAAACCTCAAACCTCAAACTCTGAACTAAACCAAAACCCTATAAACCCTAAACCCCAAACTATACACCCAAACCTCAAACCCCAAACCCTAAACCCTAAACCCTAGACCTTAAACCCTAAACCCTAAACAGGGACCCCGAAAATAATGTAAGACTGTGGTCTTCGATGAAGGACTCCTGGCTCAGGATGCAAACACAAGATTAGACTGGATTTGGGGTTTAGGGTTTGGGGTTTAGGATTTAGGGTTTAGGGTTTAGGTTTTGGGGTTTAGGGTTTGGGGTTTAGGGTTTGAGGTTTAGGGTTTGGTTTGGGGTTTGGGGTTTAGGGTTTAGGGTTTGGGGTTTAGGGTTTGGGGTTTGGGGTTGAGTCTATTGGGCTTTGGGATGGTCATGCGGGTTTAGGGCATAGGGTTTAGGGTTTAGGGCTGATGCATACCGTAGCTCATTGCTACTCGAGGGTTCTCATAGGAAATAGGGAAAAGGTCGGGTGAACCTTCCTGGTCGACAAGCCCTCTTGATTGTGATTCGAGTATTTGCCAGGTAGGGCTTGGGGTAAGTATTCCCTGCAGCCCGAAACCCTAAACCGCAAACCCGAAACCCTAAACTAGGCCCGAACCCCCAAACCTTAAACCCTAGAACCCTAAACCCTAGAAGCCTAGACCCCTAGAACTCTAGAACCCGAAACCCAAACTATCCCCCTAAACCCTAAACGCTAAACCCTAAACCCTAAACCCTAAACCCTAAACCCTAAACCCTAAACCCTAAACCCTAAACCCTAAACCCTAAACCCTAAACCCTAAACCCTAAACCCTAAACCCTAAACCCTAAACCCTAAACCCTAAACCCTAAACCCTAAACCCTAAACCCTAAACCCTAAACCCTACCAACAAGCCCTTCCTCAGAAGGTGGCGCGTGACTGCTGGCGCTGTGGTCCTGGGCCGATGCGTGGCCTTGTTGGCCTTTGCCTGGGCACGCGGAGTGTGGGCCGAGGTGTGGCAGACAGCATGGGGGGAGCCTTAGGGGTTTAAACCCTTAGGGTTTAGGGTTTAGGGTTTGGGGTTTGGGGTTCAGGGTTTGGGGTTTGGGGTTTGGGGTTTAGGGTTTAGCGTCAGGGTTTAGGACTGTAAGGCTTTATGATGTATGGTTTTGAAGACTAGGGTTTAGTTCACTCATGGGCCTTTTTTCTCTTGGGGACGTCTTCCAGGTGGGTGTAGCCTCCGGGGCACTGGTCCCTTAATGTAGTGAGAAGGTGCTTGGGATGAATAGGGATGATTGTAGCCCTAAAACACCCGAAACCCTAAACCCTAAACCCTACACCCTCAACCCTCAACCCTAAACCACCGTGTGCAGGAGCTGGCACGGCTCCCAGCGGCAGTCTCTGGCGCCTTCGCCGTCTTCGGTACCGCTTTCTCGCATCTGGGACGTCCCGAGTGGGTTTCGCCCTAAACCCTCAACCCTAGCCCTAAACCCTCATCCCTAAACCCTAAACCCCAAACACTAAACCTAAACCCTAGTCCCTAAACCCTAAACCCTAAACCCACACCATTGGACCATTGGGATCATATAGGATCGGGCTTGCAGACCCTGGAACAGCTTTCAAGCCCCTATCATGGGAAGCCCTGTGCCGACTATCGAACATACCTTGTTGCACGGCCAAAGCGCCGTTATGTAGGAGTTGTAAGGAGTATAGACGATACTTCGTGATAAGACAGGGTTTCTAGGGGTTTGCGGGGTTTTAGGGTTTAGGCTTGCAAGGCTGCTGACGCTTCTGTGGTGTGCGCAGCTCCTCGCCGACTGCTCAAGCGACCTCGTGGCCGCCAGAAGGCCCTTTAGGGTTTAGGGTTTAGGGTTAGGGTTTAGGGTTTCGGGTTTAGGATTGAGTGTCTCTAAAACCCGAAGCTCTGAACCCTATGAACCCTATAAAGCCGAAACTAAAACCTGTAAAGTCCAATTAAACCCGATAAGCACTATGAACCGAAAGCCACCGAAAGCCCTTTAAATCCTAAAGTGCCAGTGTGGTTTGGGGTTCAGGGTTTCAAGTTTAGGCGTTTCCTTCGGGGCTTTAGGGTGTGTGTAGCGGTAGATGAGGTTTGGGATTAGGTTGTTGCGGTGGTTAAGGCTAAGGTTTCAAAATTTAAGGGGTTTAGGCTATTTCGAGCTTTAGGGTTTACGGTTTAGGGCCGTTTAGGGTTTAGGTTTTAGGTTTTAGGGTTTAGGGTTTAGGGCTTGTGGTTGGAGCTAGCGGCGTCACGGGTGACCGCAAGGGTTTGTCGGGTTTTCAGGGTTTAGGGTGTGCTGAGGTGGGTGGGGGGGGGGGGGGGGGGGGGGGAGGGTGGGGGGGGGGGAGGGGTTGGTTCCGTCCATTCCCCGCCCTGCACTACACAATGCTCTTCTCCTCGCAGCATCTCCTCAAAGCACCCCTTCCCTTGCTTACCGAGCCATGTTCATTCTGGCATGGCTTGCCGTGTCCTTGTCCATGGCCTGTTGTCAGAGTCGAATGCAGTGGTCTCTTGGACCTCTTGGACAAAGCCATGGAGTGCACCATTGTGTCCATGAAGAAGCGGAAGCGAACGCCAACAGCTGCTCAGAAAACAACCATCCTGCATGCTGATGGCTGCAAGGCTTGGAAAAGCGCTGCTGAGCCGAGAAAAATCAGATTTCAGGCAGTGAACCACTCGAAAATGCAGTTCACTGCGTCCGTGCCAAAGCCCAAAAGAGGCGAAAGTAGAAGCACAGGGACCCAATGTCTTGATGTTTGCTGGAGATACTTGAAGAGGTAATTGCCTACGTCGCTGCATTCAAAGAATGCCGATAGAGAGGTAAACCCCAGAATCTTCGATTATGTCCTGAGCTTTGAGTGGCGCCAGAACAATGGTCCCGACATTTGGAAAGCTCTGGGAGGAGCCTTGGCAAAGCAAGCAAACGCCAGGGTCTGAAGAAAAGTTTGCCTGCCTGACGCCCTGAAAACAAAGTTTTCGTTTTGAGCACTTCCTTCTGTGTCTCCTGAATTCCCCACTCCTGCCATGGTTTTAGGCACCTCAAAGCTAGAAGTCATGGTAAAAACGATACGTTCCAGCAGTGCCCACGCAACCCCTAAAATAGCCAACCCTCAAAGACTCGAGGAATTTGCACATTTCCACAATATGTGCTTCACTATGCCTCTGCAAAACCTCTGCGGTCAGGCAGGCTGGCATGCTCTTTGTAGTTGCTGACAGGGACTGCAGGTGCCGCTGTAAAGGCTCTTGCCAATCGCTCGGAGGTTCATGGTCCTTATTAACCAATTACAACTTATACCTGCATTTACTGACTGACTGACAACCACTCGGATGCGTCATGACGGTCGTGAACAAAAAGGAGTCGCATCAGTGGACTCCGAAGGGACCTGCGCTCAACCAAAACCTCAGTAAGCCACTTACGGGCCTCCCAAGAGACAGAGGCGCAGGCCCGTCGGTACGGATAGCTAGCACACGGCACAGAGCCAAGGTGGCTAACCCAGTACCAGGGCATGGTGCCCTGGCTTGCAACGGCATCTAGCTACATACACTGCACAAGATACCCTCGCCTGCACAAAACTGACACTAGTCCGCGAGTTCGTCCAACAGATCTTGGACCTGTCTTTCGAGATTGCCCGGCGGGGCCTGACCGACTTTTTCGTCTCCCCCGGCATCACGGAGTAACTGCACAACAGCATTCTTCAATTCCGCATGTTCAGGTCCAAAAGCAAGAGTCAACCGTTTCATGGCGCGGTCATAGCAACGAGAGATACGACAGTGCAGCACGATGCCCTTCAGCATACTCATTTCTGGCACTGACTGGCGATGTCTGTCAAGGATGCTTTTGTGCTCAGCGGCCCCCTTCTCGCATTGCACCAGAGCCTGCGAAATCGCTGCCCACACGAAGAATTGCGGAGCGCCCAACTTGTGACCCCTGTTGCCCTTGGCTTGGTCAGCATAGTCTTTGCCCGCAGTCATACCCGCGGTGATGATGGGAGAATCGCCCTGGAAAAGAAAGGTGAGGAACACGGTGGCCATGACATTCCGGAGGGACTGGGCATTTGCCAGTCCGAGTTTGCAGCATAGAAGCATCATCTGCTGCATCTTGGTGTCATCGAGTTTGCCTTTGCCCCTAGCTCGCTTGGCGGCAGGAGCCGGTGCCTCACCCTGACGCTGGAACCATTGGTCCATGGCTTCAAAGTAGAATGTCAGGCCCTGGCAAATGAGAGGCAATGTGCCACTGAAGGGCCACAAGTGACGGAAACAGCTGCAAACACCATGTTGGGCTTATAAGTGGGTTATAGGTACAGTTAAATTCGTTAACAAGTACCATGAACCTCCAATCGCAGCCAGCGTCCTCGTCAGTAGGCCCGCACAGGGGCTGAGCAAGGCGAAAGCCAGAACAGGCCCCCTTTTTGTCGGCCTGTGGAGGACGGTGTAAAGGATCCATGTATTTTTTTTGGCATGCGGCAGCGCTCGGAGAGCTCTAACTAGTGACACCGTTTCCCGAGGAGGGTTAAAGGATCCATGTAAATACCTAACCCCTAAACCTTGAACCCTAAACCTTCATGGTACTTGGGCCCAAGTATTCGCTACACCTTTGGGGTAAGCATGCCGGATGAAGAGATCTCAGCAGGGAACTAAGAAGTTGGGCTCTCACAGGTTTTAATTTTACGGAGGATATGGGGTGCCTGATGCCCTCCCCATAACGCCCTACGTAAAGACAGTAAGAGCCAGTGTTGAGCGTTTCGGCTTTAGCGTTTGTAGGGTTGGGTTTTGGGGGTTTAGGGTTTATAGGGTTTATAGGGACTGGAGTTTAGGGGTTCAGGGTTTAGGGGTTTAGGGTTTAGGGTTTAGGGTTCAGCATCTCAAGTCCAAGCATTCACTCGTCAAGCAGTTACTCCAGGAAAATACCCACCCGCCCAAGGAATCCCACAACATTAAGAAAATATTTTACTTATAGAACGACCTTGCCCATGCCCAATAAAACGGCGACCTTGCCCAGTAAAACAGCGACCTTGCCCAGTAAAACGGCGACCTTGCCCAATAAAACGGCGACCTTGCCCAGTAAAACGGCGACCTTGCCCAGTAAAACAGCGACCTTGCCCAGTAAAACGGCGACCTTGCCCAGTAAAACGGCGACCTTGCTCAGTAAAACGGCGACCTTGCCCAGTAAAACAGTAAAACGGCGACCTTGCCCAGTAAAACGGCGACCTTGCCCAGTAAAACGGCGACCTTGCCCAGTAAAACGGCGACCTTGCCCAGTAAAACGGCGACCTTCGGACACCCCCCCCTGCCCAGTAAAAATGCTACCTTCGGCCCCGAAGGTCGCCGTTTTACTGGGCAAGGTCGCCGTTTTACTGGGCAAGGTCGATTTTGGTCAAAAAACCGACCTTGCCCAGTAAAACGGCGACCTTGCCCAGTAAAACGGCAACCTTCGGGGTCCAAGGTCGCATTTTTACTGGGCAGGGGCGGAAGGTCGCCGTTTTACTGGGCAAGGTCGCCGTTTTACTGGGCAAGGTCGTTTGTTTTGACCGAACTGACCTTGCCCAGTAACACGGCGACCTTGCCCAGTAAAACGGCGACCTTGCCCAGTAAAACGGCGACCTTGCCCAGTAACTCCTTAACATTTAAATTATATATGAAAGAGAGGTTTAGGGTTTAGGGTTTAGGGTTTAGGGTTTAGGGTTTAGGGTTTAGGTTTAGGGTTTAGCGTTGAGGGTTTAGGGGTTTAGGGGTTTAGGGGTTTAGGGGTTTAGGGGTTTAGGGTTGAGGGTTTGGGTGTTCGGCTCATCCTTCGCCCTGCGCCAGGCCGCCCTGACGATGAGCCGCCGAGGCTAGCGAAGCCTAAGCCCTAAACCCTAAACCCTAAACCCTAAACCCTAAACCCTAAACCCTAAGCCCTAAACCCTAAACCCTAATCCCTACACCCTAAACCCTAAACCCCTGGACCCTATACACCTATAAACTCTATAAACTCTATAAACCCTAACCCCTACAAATCGCATAAACCCTATAAACCCTATAAACCCTATGACCCTGAAGCCTAAAACCCTAAACCACGGCTTCCTTAAGCATGTTGACCAGATGAACCCATTGGGGATCATATACACTGCGCTACTTGCAACTATCTCCATTGAGGAATGTGAGTGCTTCAGGGGTTAGGGTTTATAAGGTTTAGGGGTTGCGGATTTAGGGTTCAAGGTTTCCCCGTTGTAGGGTTTCCAGGTCTTCGCCACAAGTCAAAGCGGCCACATCATGAAGACCCACGAGCTCATCCACATCCATGGGAGGCCGACCCCTACCGCGCAAGCGTTCGCAGGTATTGGCACTTGGAAGCTCTGCCAGAACTCGGCCACGGTTTGGGGTCTAGGGGTTTAGGGGTTTGGGGGTTTAGGGGTTTGGGGGGTTAGGGCTTTATGGGTTTGGGGGTTTTGGGGTTCAGGGGTTTAGGGCTTAGGGGACCCTAAGGGTCCATGTGCTGTACCTAAATGGGGAATACTTGGGCCTTAAAGTACTTGCATATAGGGAATTTGGGACCCAAGTTTATAAGGTGCACAGACCCTTAGGGGACTCCTCCATGAGTTGCAAAGCAACGATACCGCGGTCAGTATAGCTACCACTACACTTGCTGTCTCTCTCCCGCTGATACTTCTTCGAGGCTGTTCGACTTAGCACTTACTTTCGCACTATGTCCCGAGCCTGCAATCGAACCTGCCTGCTCCTTCCGCACCCTGGCTTGGCCCAAGCGAAATCCAGAACAAGGGACCTGATCTCCCTCGATTCAGGGGTTCAATGCCTCACGCCACGAGACGGGGCTTGGCATCTCCACTCCCAGATCAAACAGGCACCTACTCCCAGCAAACGCCCTGAAGTCAACCCTAAACCCTGAACACTAAACCCTAAACCCTAAACCCTAAACCCTAAACCCTAAACCCTAAACCCTAAACCCTAAACCCTAAACCCTAAACCCTAAACCCTAAACCCTAAACCCTAAACCCTACACACCTCTCTCCTTCAAAGTGTGTGAAGCCCACCTGCGACCTCGGCGCCATGGCTCGCTTCCGTGGTGAGGGTCACCGGGACAGGAACTCCATCATGTACAACGTTCCTTGGCAGCGGCTTGAGGGTCTGTAGGGTTTAGGGTTTGGGGTTTAGGGTTTAGGGTTTAGGGTTAGGGTTTAGGGTTTAGGGTTTAGGACTCAGGGTTTAGGGGCGTGTGTGGATGACATTCCAACAACTTCCAGCGGAAGATGTTGGGCGCAGCTGAGGATCGTGACCACTTGTCGCGGAAGTTGATCAAGATCCTCCGCCGTCCAGGCTGCCGGGTGACCCTAAGGGTTTAGGATTTAGGGTTTAGGGTTTAGGGTTTGCAGTATATGCCTGGGCCCTGAAGCTACTACTATATAGGAACCCCCTTCATGGCCCAACTGTATATGCTATCTAGATACACGGAACCTTCGGGTGAGTGTTTGACGGGGTTCGGTTGCTTCTTGGCAGCCCAGTGGTACCCTTCTCCCTTTTTTTTAGGGTTTAGGGTTTAGGGTTTAGGGTTTAGGGTTTAGTTCATGGTGTCCTTACAAAGTAACCAACCCCCCAAAAAAGGATACCCTCATTGCAATATGAATATGGTTACTCGGCTACCCCAGGTGTGGTCTTGCGTCAGAACAGGTGGTGGTGATTGTCTCGTACATACCGAAGGTCCTGGCGTCCGGAACTCTGAACACTGGGTTTAAGCCCTGATTCGAAAGCACCCTCAAAAGGGCCGACTTGAAAAGCGCCAGCTGTGAGAGGTCGGGGCCACCACCTCCACAAGCGACGGGATGGCTACATGCTGTTGCATCAGGCCGGGTTTAGGGTTTAGGGTTTAGAGTTTTGGGTTTTGGGTTTTGGGTTTAGGGTTGGGGTTTAGGGTTTTAGGGGTTTAGGGTTTTAGGGGTTTAGGGTTTAGGGTTTTAGGGTTTTAGGGTTTTAGGGTTTTAGGGTTTTAGGGTTTTAGGGTTTTAGGGTTTTAGGGTTTTAGGGTTTTAGGGTTTTAGGGTTTTAGGGTTTTAGGGTTTGGGGCTTCGGGCTTCGGGCTTCGGGGTTAGGGCTTACAGGGCGCAGGGTTATCTACTTTGTCTGTCGGTACGCGCTCTGAAGCTAAGACACGAGCCCAGCCCCTTGGTTCTGAGAAGGAATGAGGGAATGAGGGCCCTAAATATACCCTTTCAGCGATTCTATAGGGTACCTCATTCTCTCATTCCCTAACCAGCCAGTTACCCTAAACCCTAAACCCTAAACCCTAAACCCTAATAGGCCGCCAAGGATCCTTGCATAAACAAACCGTGCTCAGTGCCGGCGTGTGTTGCCTGCTCTTCTCCTCGCAGTGCTTCCTGAACAGTAGGGTTTAGGGTTAGGGTTTAGGGTTTAGGGCTTAGGGTTTAGGGTTTTGGGTTTTGGGTTTTGGGTTTAGGGTTTTGGGCTTAGGGTAAGAACGTGTTGTGGTTTGTGAGTCGTGCTGTGGCAGGGTCAGAAATTGTGGTTGACTTGCCTCGGCGAAATATGAAGTGCAGACGACCCTGAGTCTGCGAGAGAGGAGGGAAGAGGGAGAGAGAGCGTGTACAAACTGGGACAGGTTTAGGGTTTGGGGTTGAGGGTTTGGGGTTTAGGGTTTGGGGTTTAGGGTTTAGGGTTTAGGGTTTAGGTCTTTAGGGTGCAACCCTGATCTCTGCGAGGTGGCCGCGCAGCTGAGGTCGCGCGGGACCTTTCGCGGCTTTCCGGTGACCGAGCAGGAGGCCCCCTTTAGGGTTTAGGGTTTGGGGTTTAGGTCTCAGGGTTTAGGGCTTAGGGCTTAGGGTTTAGGGTTTAGGGCGACGAGGGCATGTACTTGCTTGCACAACTGGGTAGGACAGTGTGTTATGTCATCTTTTTGTCTCTTGGGTTACCTAAATCCCCCCAAAGCGGCATGAGGAGCCTCGTGGCAGTTCTCGCAAAGAAATCCTCTGAACCCGTAACCCTAAGCCCGAAACCTTAAACAACGTGTTGAGTGGCGCCGGGTACTAGGAGTTTCAGGGTACTCATAATTTTAGCTATAACTGTACTTAAATGCCCCCTAAGTCCTCTAAGTAGGTTATAAGTAGACTTATAACCCGGGTTATAAGTACCCACGAACCTCCAAGTAGCTGTCCCCCCTCATGCCCTCTTGAGGAGGGTTCAGGGTTTAGGGGCCCAACCTCGAGGCTCATCTACGAATTGCTTAAGAAACAAGTAAGAAACAAGTAAGATATTCTTCCCAATATAGTGAATATTGTGTTTTTTTTGTGTTTTTGGGAGGTTCATAAGCAAAAAATAGAGCTCATCCGGGTTTAAGGTTTTAAGGTTTACAGGGCTTACAGGGTTTACAGGGTTTATGGGTTCATAGGGTTCATAGGGTTTATAGGGTTTATAGGGTCTATAGGGTTTATAGGGTTTACAGCGTTTACAGGGTGTTTATAGGGTTTTGTAGGGTTTGTTAGGGTTTATGGGGTTTTTAGGGTTTATAGGGCTGAGGGTATATCAAAAAACTCAACGGCATTATCTGAGGATGAGTAAGGAGGGGCCCCTAGAAGGGACCCTCAATCTTAGTTCCCCATTTAATCCCTACATATATATATGTAGATAGATATAGATATAGATATACCTCTAAATACCCCAAATACCCCCCCCCCCCCCCAAAAGGTCCCTTATAAGGGTACCTCCTTTGGTGCCTAAATCCCTAAACCCTAAACCCCAAACCCCAAACCCCAAGCCCCAAACCCTAACCCCCAAGCCCCAAACCCTAAACCTAAACCCTAAACCCTAAACCCCAAACCCCAAACCCCAAACCCCAGACGCCAAGCCCCAAGCCCCAAGCCCCAAGCCCCAAACCCTAAACCCTAAACCCTAAACCCTAAACCCTAAACGAACCATGGAAGCCGCGAGGTAGAGGAGATCGCCCGTGGGGATCCTCGGCACTTTGGGTGCCAAGCCCAGCGTGTTGGGAATGTAGGGTCTGGCTTCGGAGGTTTCCGCAATCCCGGCTTGGGTTTAGGGTTTAGGCTTAGGGTTTAGGGTTTAGGGTTTAGGGTTTAGGGTTTGGGGCTTGGGGTTTGGCGTTTGGGGTTTGGGGTTTAGGGTTTAGGGTTTACGGTTTAGGGTTTAAGGGCATGGTTCCAGGTCAGGAGTTTTTTGTTTGGGGCTTTAGTGGGTCAATGTTCTGTGTAGTGGCATAGAGGTTCAACATCACACGTCTTCATGCCGCAACGTTGCAGCACATGCTTGGCAGATGCTTTAACTTAACTTAGCCTTCAACTCGCGTGCGGGCAGTATGATTGTGGGGACTCTTCTGTCTGCTTGGAGCGTTGTTCCCAAAACCCTAAACCAGATTCCCTAAACCCTCGACCCTAAGCGGTGCGGTTGTTGCATTTGTAGGACACTGGCCAGTCAGAACCCGACATCCCCGACCACGACGCAGAACAAACGGATCAGGCCCCGTGATGCTAGAAAACAGGACGGGGCGAATGACGCAGGAACGGACAGGAAGAGTCACAACACAAAAGTGCAGATGAGAGGACAGATAAATGGAAAGCACCGATAAGAGGACGCATAGAATGACAGCGCTGTTTGACGAAGGAAGGGACGGGATAGATGACAGATGAGTGTGAGAGACGGACTTAGTGTGGCTGCAGTTCTCGTGGAGGTCGTTGTCGTCCTCGTGTTTGGTTGTACTGTAGTGGCCGGGATGTTGCTACTGGGGTTGGGGGTTTTGGTGTTATCGTCGTGGTGATACTTGTTGTTGTCGCTGCTTTTGCGTTACATTTCTTTCTTGTTATGTTGTGGGGGTTACGACTACCATTAATCACCATGTGCAGGTTCGTATTTCGTCAGCTTGAGGTCGACAGTGTTGCATGGTTTTTTCGGGTTGCCCAGACGCACATGTTCGCTGAATTTCGACCGCCCTGGTAATGGCATGGCAGTTCTGTGATCAGGTGACTTCACCAGTTGTGGTCCAATTTTCGATTTCGGAACCATAACGCGCCATAACGCGCCCATCTGTGCAAGGGTGGCGGCTTCTCCGGAGGGCACGGTGAAGCTTGGCAGCACATGTTTTCTCGAACTAATCACAGATGCAACTCGGGTGGCAACCAAGTAACGGGCTTGACCATTCAGACAAGCCTACTACTTGCATAAGAACCCCAAAAAGAAAATACTTATCCCTATATTATGGCCTTAATAAGGAAGAATGTTTTTATTTTTTGGGGGGTTCTTAAGCAGCAATAGCACCACTGTTGACTAGATGAGAAGTGGTACGGACTATCAAGCTTCCAGCAGCCTGAATCGCCGTCTCGTTCTGGGCCGGAGCCAATAATACAGCACTGGTACTTGGAGGTTCATGGGTACTTATTACCCGAACTACTACTAATTGCTTAAGAACCCCGAAAAAAGGTTCTTCCTGATTAAGGGTAATATAGGGGTTAATATGTTGTCTTTCTTTTGGGACTATTAAGCGAATAGTAGATTCTAAGTCTACTTGTAACTTACTTAGAGGACTTAGGGGGCGTAGGGGGCTTCTACGTGCAGTTGTCATTGGGGGCTATAAGTACGCTGAACCTCCCGGTAGAAGTACCCACTCTGAAGTCCCTAAACCCTAAACCCTAGACCCTCAACCTAAACCCTAAACCCTAAACCCTAAACCCTAAACCCTAAACCCTAAACCCTAAACCCTAAACCCTACACCCTAAACCCTAAACCCTAAACCCTAAACCCTAAACCCTAAACCCTAAACCCTGCGGGTGTTGCGTCAGCATAAGGATCCGCGCATTGTCGAAGCACGCGCCTGGCAGTGTGGATCTGGATCTGTTCAACAGCGCTTCCACAAGGAGCACAGCAATCCCCTAGGGCTCCAAGTATACAAATACCCCTAGACCCTAAACCCTCAACCCTAAACCCTAATGCCTACATTGGGGTCTGAAGTCTGTACATGATACCTACTTTGGGCTAATTTGGGGCTTATAGCACTTATAGCCCTAAGGGTCCATGTACCTGTATAGTATATACTTGGGCCATCAAGGGGTTCCCATATAGTAGCTTTAGGTCCCAGGTATTTCCCATATAGGAACCCTAAACCCTAAACCCTAAACACATGGACCCTTAGGGTAGGGATCCTAAGAGTCACCGTGGGACTTGGGTGACGAGGTCTTGAAGGCTGCGTGAAGGAGAGGATGTGTGATTTGTGAGTACAAGGAAGCTCTGCGATTATGCGATTATGTATCCCTTAACTCCATAAAACCCAAGGGTCCATATTTCAGAACCCTAGGGTTTAGGGTTTAGGGTTTAGGGTTTGGGGTTTGGGGTTTGGGGTTTGGGGTTTAGGGTTTAGGGTTTAGGGTTTAGGGTTTAGGGTTTAGGACCTATTCAGGGATCATGGAACTATCCTAAGACGATGTCAGGAGCGTGGAAAGCCAACTTCGGACCGTGGGCTACGTCTTCGACGCACCTGGACCACCACCCCTGCCTGGTGACGGTGCCAGCGCGTCCGAAGCTGAGTCTTCAAGGGTTTAGGGTTTAGGGTTTCGGGTTTATGGGGACTCAGCTCTTCATTTTGTAGGGTTTCGGTTCCCTTCTGGGCCCCTTTAAACCAAGGGGGCACCCTTGTTTTCCCTAGGCTACTCTTGGGTCGAGTCTCAAGGCTTTGATGAACAATAGTTAAAGCCTAAAAACCCTAAGCCCTAAACCGTAAAAATGCCTACGCGACCGTGGCCCCAGCTTGAAGCCGTCCTTCTAGACATAGGTCTCAGCAAAGCGACGCAGGTCTCTGCAAGTGCACCCCTGTGCGAGTAGTCCCAAACCCGAAACCCGAAACCCGAAACCCTAACCTCTAGACCCTATGCCCTAAGCCCAAAACCCTAATCCTAAATGCTCAGCCCTAATCCTCAACCCTAAACCCTAAACCCTAAACCGTAAACCCTAAACCCTAAACCCTAAACCCTAAACCCTAAACCCTAAACCCTAATCTTCCCAAGACAGGCCATCTGCGGAGGGCGGGTCCGTGATGGGGGATGCTCGGCTCGCGAATGGCGACTGTTTGGAGCCTCCGGGGTGTTTTTGTGAAAGTTGTTAGGGTTTAGGGTTTAGGGTTTAGGGTTTCGGGTTCAGGGTTTGGGGTTTAGGGTTTAGGGTTTTAGGGTTGAGGGTTGAGGGGTTTTCGGGTGTTAGGGTCTTCCAGCAACATCATCTTACCATCGTTGGGTCGCGAAGTGACGTGTGCAAACCCTAAGCCCTGAGCTCTGATCCCTAAACCCTGAACCCTAAACCCTAAACCCTAAACCCTAAACCCTAAACCCTAAACCCTAAACCCTAAACCCTCTCTCGTGTGCCCCAGCTCCCCTGCCGATCGCCCTGGCCCCCGAGGACGCTGAGCTCTTCGCCCCCGGGCCAGCCGGGAACAGGGAGTTGGGTCGTGGGGTTAGGGGTTCTTGGTAGCCCAGGGTTTAGGGTTTAGGGTTTAGGGTTTAGGGGTTTAGGGGTTTAGGGGTTTAGGGTTTAGGGTTTAGGGTTTAGGGTTTATAGAGGGTTCATACGGTTTCTAGGGTTTCTAGGGGTTCTAGGGGTTCCTGGTAGCCCAGTGGTACCCTTTACTCTATTTTTGTGTTTCTAGGGTTTCTAGGGTTTCTAGGGTTTACAGGGTTTCTAGGGTTTATAGGGTTTATGGGTTTACAGGGTTTCTAGGGTTTCTAGAGGGTTTATAGGGTTTCTAGGGTTTCTAGGGGTTCTTGGTAGCCCAGGGGCACCCCGTTGCCCTATTTTTGGGTTTGGGTTTCCCTTAGAACATAACCAACCCCAAAAAGGGTGCCCTTATTGTAAGATGGTCACTGGGCTATAAGGGTTTCTAGGATTCCTAGGGTTTCTAGGGATTCTAGAGGGTTTATGTGGGTTTATAGGGTTTACAGGGTTTCTAGGGTTTATAGGGTTTATGCGTTTTTTCGGGTTTATAGGGTTTACAGGGTTTCTAGGGACTATAGGGGTTTGTAGGGCTTATAGGGTTTAGAGGGTTTATAGGGTTTGGGGTTTAGGGCTGTTCGACTGCTTGGCTGTAAGCTTGCACGGCTGTCGAAACGAGCGGCAATCATTTCACGCGACCCGTGCGAGTCGGAGTTTAGGGTTTTTTGGTGGTTGTCCCTGACAAGCCCTAAACCCTATACACCTTGAACCCTATAAACTCTATAAAACTCATGAATCCTAAGCACTATAATGCCCTATGAACCCTATAAACCCTATAAACCCTTCTGTGATGTGAAGTTGGCATTTCCATGATGCTGGTCGTTGTTGTCGGTTTATTGCTCGTGCTGCTGATGTTGAGGGCGACAGCGAATGTGATGCTAGTAAGGGTGGTGTGTTTTGGGTTTTCGGTGTTTTTTGTGTAATAAGGTTGAAGATGACGGTGGGAACGATGATGGTGAACATGACTGGCAAAAGCAGGTCTTCGGACGATGAGGAGGACTACGAGCAGCTTCGAAGAATTGGATTGCGCATTGTCTCTATGGTTTAGGGGTAGGGTTTAGGGTTTAGGGTTTAGGGTTTAGGGTTTAGGGTTTAGGGTGAATTGAAACAGTCGTCGTTAGGAGTGGATCGATCATGTACCTCATTCTCGGCAGTCCAAGGCAAGTTCAGGATGAGCTGAGGCGGGCGCAGCTTGGATGTGGGATACTACAAAGCGAGTTTGACGCCCTAAGCCCGAAGCCCCAAACCCTGAACTCTAAACCCTAAACCCTAAATCCTGAACCCTAAACCCTAAACCCTAAACCGGTGTGCGTCTTTGGTGTAGGTCAGAGGTGGGGGGGGGGGGGGCCAAGTGTGGTGTCATTGCTTGGAGGTTCATGGTACATATTGACCGATTATGACTGTCTTATAACTGTACTTATAACCATGTTAGGGCACTTAAGGGGCTTATCAGTGGGCGATAAGTACAGTGATAATTGATGAATAAGTACCCTAAACCCTAAACCCTCAACCCTCAACCCTAAACCCTAAACCCTAAACCTTTTGTTGGTTCATGAGTACCATGAACCTCCAAGTGGAGCAGCTGTCGGGACAGGAAGCTTCGACAAGAAAATGCTGAGCTGAAGGATGAGGCCTTGCTGCAGGGTCTCGAGCATGACAATTTCAAGATGCCTTTCTGCCCTAAACCCTAAACCCTAAACCCTGAACCCTAAACCCTAAAGCCTGAACCCTGAACCCTGATTCCTGAACCCTGAACCCCCTTGAAGACATCGCGGCTTTGTTCCCGCAGGTGGCAGCGTTAAAGGCGGAGAATGCAAAGTTGCGGGGAGAGCCGGGGACTTTGCTTCCTGGTTCTTAGTGAAGGGTTTACGGTGAAGGGTTTAGGGTGTAGGGTGTAGGGTTCAGGGTTCAGGGAGAAGGAATACTGCGCTGCTAGACCGGCCGGTTACGCTTGAATAGCCAGGGCAAACAAGAGGCACAAGAATCACCATGGCGCCGCTGGCAGTAGCAAAGTTTTCCGAATATCGCCTTCGGCAGTGAATGGAAATCCCAGACCTCTGGGAGGATCCAAAATTTGAAAGTAGAACCCTTAAACTAGTACCCTCTACTACGATTGGGTTAATTCTTTTGGGAACCTTTAAGGGAGTTTACTTTTTCGGTCCTCCCAGGGGTCTGGGAATAAAGCAGGTAAATGAGCAAGCCAAGCGGAAACCAAGAAGTCGTACGAAGGTTGACCCCGGTCCTTCTTTCCAAAGTAGGACAAAAGCTGGCACTTTTCGGGGAAATGAACCCTAAAACGCCTAAACCTTAGACCCTATCCCCAAACCCTAAACCCGAAACCCTAAACCGTTAACCGCAAACCTTACCTAACACTAAACCCTAAACCCTAACCCTAAACCCTAAACCCGAAACCCTAAACCCTAAACCCTAGTTAAACCGCCCAGGCCTGTCAGCGTGAAGTCGGGCGAAGATCCATGGCAGACGGGTGCGGATCCCTGGCAGACGGGCGCCCCAATGGCTGGGCCTTCGCCACCTGCGCACCTTGGGTCTTCTTAGGGTTTAGGGTTTAGGGTTTAGGGTTTCGGGTTTAGGGTTTAGGGTTTAGGGTTTAGGGTTTAGGGTTTAGGGTTTGTTGCGTTCGGGGCGGGTGCAGAGCTGAGAGCCAGGCCTGCGAGGCAAGCATGCTGCAATGCTGGCCACAGAGCGAGATGCTTGTGTGCGTGGGTGTTTTGCGGAGACTCGCCACCTAAACCCTAAACCTTAAACCCTAAACCCTAAACCCTAAACCCTGAACCCTAAACCCTAAACCCTAAACCCTAAACCCTAAACCCCAATCCCGAGGCCCGCCGTAAGGCACAGGGAGGATACACAGCAGACGTCGCCCAAGCTGGAGCCGCTGGCTGCGCCGACAAGCGGGCAGCCCGCACTGGCTGCGCCGCTCAGCTCGGGCTCGTTTAGGGTTTAGGGTTCAGGGTTTAGGGTCCAGGGTTTAGGGTTTAGGGTCCAGGGTTTAGGGTCCAGGGTTTAGGGTTTAGGGTTTGGGGGGGGGAGGGGGGGCGGTTATTTTTTGTAGGCCCTTGGGATATTTTGTATTTTCCCTTAGTGGCTTGAAGAGGACCAAAATTCAGGAATATGTTTCAAAGGGTATAAAGGGCCATCCTTGATTTCTGGCCACATGATAAATGTGTCTGTGTTTCATGCGTCTAGGGGTGTGTGTTTGCCCTGGGGTGCGGAGTCTCGTTTGGCTATAAGCCTGTGAAGCCAAACTCTGCCAACACTTCAGCGCTTAGTCTCCAGGTTTTTCCAAGCTAACGAGTTAGCAAAGCGAATGGGGACTGCTCAGTATCCGAGGCGTTTGTTCTGTTCTTGTTTTGCTTTGTGTTTTGACCTCTTTTTGGAACCTTCAGTCAAGTGGCAAAGCCTGATCTTGCTTCAACCCTTGGTATGTGCTTCGCCAAGGCTACATCGAGAAACAAAGGCGGAGAACATGCGGCAAGCCCACGAAGAGCCGCCTGGCTCCTGTAGAGTCTAACAGTGCTTAATAGGCATTCAAGTACCCGCTATTATATATTCCCTATTAAGGACTGTTAGTAAAAGGGGGAACATCCCAATTTCTCTGTTTGTTGTTGTGTCTGTGTTTGTGCCTCTATTTCTGTTTGTCTGCCTGTTTATCTGTCCCAGCGTTTCTATGTGTTTTGCTCCTCGGTAGTATTGATCTGGTGCTGTTTGTCTACCCTCTATTCATTGTGTAACTACGTCTCCAGAAATCTGTATACTTGCCTGTCTGTCCATGCCTCCGCACGTATGCACATGTGGATGTATCTAATTATAGATGCGCATGTACCCTAAACCCTAAACCCTAAACCCTATACCCTAAACCCTAAACCCTAAACCCTGGCATGCTCCGCTCAGCAGTTTTTGATTCAGGGGCAACTCGCTTGGGATCCTGCACCCAGTTCCTGAAAGTACAGCAAACTCCAAACAGTTGGAACATCCTTATCCCCTTACCCCAAGACCCATACCAAAGGGAATCCCCAGCTTTAATCATCCTTAAGCTAGTTCCAACTTTCTGGAGTTTACTTCAGGGGCAACGCAGTTTGATCAGTGCTGTCCCTGTGTGAAAGTTTTTCGGGGGGTGCATGCTCGATTGACCTTAAACACGAAACCCCGTAAACCCCATAAACCCTGCAAACCCCATAAACCCTGTGAAACCTACAAACCCTGTAAACCATGTAAACCCTATAAACCCCACAAACCCTAAACCCTAAACCCTAAACCTTATATACACCTTACCCAAAACCCTAAACCTGCAAACCCTAAACCCCAGACCCTAAACCCGAAGCCCGAAACCCTAAACCCTCCCCGGAACACTAAATAGAAGCCAAGGAATGCTGAACCCGCGGTGCTTCGCGTCTCGGGCCTCGGCCGGGAACTCAATTCTGGCCCGCAGAACGCTTCAATTCGAGTTTGGGTTTAGGGTTTAGGGTTTAGGGTTTAGGGTTTAGGGTATAGGGTATAGGGTTTAGGGTTTCAGCTCTGTGAACGCCGTCAAAACCCTAAGCCCGAAACCTGCTAGCTTTGAACCTGAAACCCTAAACCTTACATGCCCTACCTGGGACCTCTTTACCCACAGTTTTATGGGTTATGCCTACGAAGTAAGGGTAGTTTCTACTAAACTGTAGGTAAATTGAGGCCAAGGTAGACCCTCAACCCTGCTGTCTTTCTGCCACGCCAATGAATGGCTGCCTCCGCCTGAATTGAGTATTTCATTGTTGCATTATATTCATGCTTGTATTCTATATGGCCATACTGCTGCATATTCAGTTACATGGAAATACTGTGACATGTTTAGATCACTGCACTATTTTTTCGAATAGAGACCTACTTGCGCAGACTCGGTGGCCAGGTCCCGGGGAGGACTCGAAAAGTATAACCCCCAATTAATACCCTCTACTACTCTTTTGGTCATTCTTAGGATCCAACCTTTAAGGTTTAGGGTTTTGGGTTTAGGGTTCAGGAAGCTAAACCCTACACCGGGGTGGCCAGGCTGTGAGCAGGAGCCCTTCGCAAGCCGCCTCCATGGCGAGTGCCCTTGCTGGGAGTGCTTTCCTGGGTGGTGGCCTGTAGGGGCGTTGGGGGGGTTTTTAGGATCCCGGAGTTTAGGGTTTAGGGTTTAGGGTTTATAGGGTTTAGGGTTTGGGGTTTAGGGCTTAGGGTTTAGGGTTTAGGGTTTAGGGTTAGGGTTCAGGGTTCAAGGTTTACATTTCTTAAAGGTCTTTAAGTTGGTTGATCACCTGGAGACCTGATGCACGCGCTGAATTGCGAGATGTTTCTGAGCTCGTTAAAGTCTGCCTGCACAACCCTTGATCCTACTTGACCCTAAAACCCCAAATATGACATGCCTAAACCCTAAACCCTAAACCTTTAAACCTCAAATCTGAAATACCTAAACCCTAAACCCTAAACCTTAAACCCTAAACACTAAACCCTAAACCATACCTGGACCCCCAAAGCAGCTCACCTTGCTTTGTGATCTCTCCCATGATGCAGCGCAAGCTAGCCAGAATCGCAAGCCTGAGCTCCGAAGCCCCTAAACCCTAAACCCTAAACCCTAAACCCTAAGTCCTAAACCCCAAACCCTAAACCTAAACCCTAAACCCTAACCCTAAACCCTAAACCCTAAACCCTAAGCCCTAAACCCTAGACCCTAGACCCTAAACCCTAAACCCTAAACCCTACCTGGACCCCCAAAGTGTGCGAAGAAATAGCCCAAAACCCATAGAGAAGGATCGTTAGGTGACATACCTTCGGGGGTTTAGGTACACCCTCAACACACCCGAATGAGGAGCAATCCCCCAAAACCCTAAACCCCAAACCCTGAACCCCAAACCCTAAACCCTAAACCCCAAGCCCTAAACCCCAAACCCTAAACCCCAAACCCCAAACCCTAAACCCCAAACCCCAAACCCTAAACCCCAAACTCCAAGCCCCAAACCCCAAACCCTAAACCCCAAACCCTAAACCCCAAACCCCAAACCCGAGACCCTCAAGTCTCCACGTCAAGAGGTACCTTCGCCTGGAGGAGCGGAGGTGCGGACGCCCCGTGTTCCAACGCGGAGCCGAGGCGGAGCATGGATTTGGGGACCGTGTGCAGATGTGACGGGCGGGGGTTAGGGTTTAGGGTTTAGGGTTTAGGGTTTAGGGTTTAGGGTTTAGGGTTTAGGGTTTAGGGTTTAGGGTTTAGGGTTTAGGGTTTATCGGGTTTTTCGGGTTTTTCGGGTTTTTCGGGTTTAGGGTTTATTGATGATGCCATGAAATATAGCCTTTTGCTTGCTGTCATTGCCAATGTCGCCGCACTGCTGTTCTGTCATCTCCGGTATCTCATCTTCATCGTCATCGTCGTCACAGCCCTAAACCCTGAACCCTAAACCCTAAACCCTACTCGAACACTTCTTTTCTACCCCAGTGTGCACGCGTACGTTGTGAGAGTCATGTCTGGTGTAGGGCCATGCATGGTGTCAGAGATTTCTTGACAGCGCTATTTTTTGTTGCGAACCGCGGACATTCGACAATGCGGTGGTTTGGGGTTGTTAGATGTTGATGGTGCGAACCAGTGCTGATGGTTACGCATGCCAAGATGTCGTACGAGCTTGTTAGGTGTTGTGAGATAGGAAATGTTGCTAGTACGGGAGATATGGTAAGACGCCATGAGATGGCAGACCCGCTTTTGCACTTGTTGTGACTTCACGAGGTTTACGAAATATCATTACACTCAGTAGGCGTGGTTAGTGATTCTTAGGCGCGGTTCCGACTGCTGTATAGATGGTTTGTTTCAGGATTGGATTGTAAGAGGCACAGACGATTTCTAGCACGGAGTGGAGAGTCAGGCATTGCCACATGCCATGGGGACACTGTAGTGTAGCAGTCTAAGCAGCAAACATGGAGGCAGCTACAATATATAGCTGCCGGTGTGTGTGTGTGTGTGCACGACACGGTCACCCGGCCACGTCATGCTCGTTTCTCTAAGCTTGTAGTGCATCCGAGAGGGATCAGTTAGGTGCCAACACATGGAAACAATCGAGAGAAGGGTGTTGGTGGGGCGGGGATCGCGTGCAGGTTCCCAGCACATGACAAACAAACGAGAGCATACTCCACACCTCAGACGTGATTGGGGCGGGGATGGGGAATCGGAAAAGGGTTTAGGGCGTGAGAGTTGATGTATTTGTTTGTGTTTGTGTGTGCGTGTGTGTATATGTGTATTTTTGTGTATGTGTATGTGCACGTCTATTTGTGTATGTGTGCGCGTGATGATGTGTGTATTTGCATCTGCATGTGTGTGTATGAGTATTTGTATGTGTGTGTACGCATATTATATGTGTGTTTGTATGTATGTCTGTATGCAGGCATGTACGTATGTCCATGTACGTATGTATGTGTGTACGTATGCAAGCACGTAAGTTTCGGGTTTCGGTGTTCACCGAGGGCTGCATCGCATAGCAGCTTAAAGAATGTCTGCACCAGCATGCAACGTGTCCAGGCCCCACAAGGCCTTTCACGGGTGCTACGTGGAGAGTGTTGAAATGAACGTGCGTGTCTGTGTGTGTGTGTGACGTGTATGTAGGAAGATGGAGTAGAAGTGTATGTTTGTACTGAGAGTTTCGCTGGCACACTGTGGCTACTTTGGAATCGTCCCATGTGGTCTGAGACACGATGTCCAGTATGAAGAACACCGGATACCGTGCAGCTTCGACTTTCGGCAACCTTAAGAAGGGGAGTTTGTAGGATCCAGGGTTTAAAAGGGCGTATAGGGTTTAGGCTTTAGAGTACAGGGTTCCTCCGCACCTCCGCACATCCTTGCACCATGGACATTTGCGCGCGACGCCCTTTCCGGTGTCTTCACAGGCTGCAGCCCGGCAGATGGTGCTCTTCTACTGGGACGACCCGGAGTTGTCAGGATGGTGCGCAGCCCAGAGTTGTGCAGGCCCTAGACCCTAAACCCTAAACCCTAAACCCTGTTGCATGACAACAAATCCGGCTGCAGCTGCCACGGGCTGGCCATTGAAAGCCTTGCGGTTGTGGACTGAGGTACTTCTGTCCCAGTCTTGACGAGGAGGTGGAGGCAACGGAAGAGTTTCTTGAACACTTGCCCCGTCGCCTATAGGGTTTAGGATTAGGACCTCTTCTTGGGAAGTTTGGTTGTGAAGTCGAAGTGAGTGCGCCGTAGTTCGGGTCATGTTCTTCTAAGACATGTGCTTTTCCTGGTTTGGCATTTCGCGTTGTGCTTTGGATGGTGACGCTTTTCTTGTGCAGTGGCCGGGGATCGAGCCTAAACAGACGCAACCCTAAACCCCAAACCCCAAACCCTAAACCCCAAACGCCAACCCTAAACCCTAAAACCCCAAACCCCAAACCCTAAACCTGCAGACTTGGGCTTTCCATGCCGGCGACACTGGTCTGCCTCCGGCTGATGGCTGGGTCGTCCCTCGACTGCCGCCTGTAGGGTTTAGGGTTCAGGGTTTAGGGTTTAGGGAAAGTTTAGGGTTTAGGGTTTAGGGTTTAGGGTTTAGGGACTTGCCGGCTTCTTTCGGGAGCTACTTGCAAATGCGAAGCTTGAAGGCCACCATGCCCATGCTGTTTTTCCCAAATCTTCTACGCCGACTCCAGATGGGGCATGCCTAGCCGCCTAAGATGCCCAGTAGCGTCCTTGTTACCCTTTTTGAGGGGGCTTAGGTTATTGTAAAACCCTAAACCCTAAACCCTAAGCCCTCAACCCTAAACCCTAAACCCTAAACCCTAAGCCCTAAACCCTAAACCCTAAACCCTAAACCCTAAACCCTAAACCCTCAACCCTAAACCCTAAACCAAACCTTCTTTAAGCAAAAAAATGGGCCCCGTCTTTTCATCCTGGGCTACAGGGTCACGCCTAGCCTGCAGGATGCCTCCACTGGACTAGTAATTGCTTAAGAACCCCCCCCCAAAAAAAAAGAAAAAAAAATCTTCCTTATAAGGGTACTATAGGGATTAATGTTTTTCTTTTGGGGTTCTTAAGCAAATAGTAGCAATCTTCCTTGTGAGGGTACTATAGGGATTAATATTTTCCTTTTGGGGTTCTTAAGCAAATAGTAGCGGGGGTGTTCCAGTCGTGCGAGTCCAAAGCTCCGACAGTCAACCCGAAGCGCTCCGCGACGAGTGGCAAATTTAACGTACCATTTTAAATCCCCTCCGACCCTAAACCCAAAACCCAAAACCCTTAAACCCTTTTCCCCTCCGACCCAAAACCCAAAACCCTTAACCCTTAAACCCTAAACCCCAAGGCGCCTTACGACGAGAATGGCGAAGTAAACCCAAGCTTCAGGGTTGAGGCGCGATGTGACGGAGGGTTTCCTCCTGGGGGCTCTGGCTCTTAAAGGCTTCGGGTTCAGGGTTTAGGGTTCAGGGTTGAGGGTTGAGGTTTTAGGGGTTAGGGGTGAGGGTTTAGGGTATAGGGTTTAGGGTGGTGCTTTTGTTTGCGTTTTGGGTTCCTGGTTCCTTATAAATGTAAACAATCCCAAAAAAGGGTGCCCTCACTATCCTATGAAGAAGCGACACTTCAGAGAGCTGGAGGGCTTCTTGGGGTCGTTTGTCGCTAGACATGTTCAGACTGTACAGGAGCTTTAAACGGGCCTGACGGTACCCCCCTTCCCTCCACTCCCGGTTTAGGGTTTAGGGTTTAGGGTTTGGGGTTTGGGGTTTGGGGTTTGGGGTTAAGGGTTTAGGGTTTAGGGCCCCGAACCACGAATTTTATCACCATCTTTTTGAAGCACCTCGCGTAGAGGAAGTTAGGGCGAGCTTTTTTCGAGAATCCACTACTCTCACCATCCCTGGTTCTGCGAGGTTTTCCTGATTCCCTGTCTTGTACCCATCGCAGCAGCACTGAAGAAAGCCTTCAAGGAACCTGCTAGAGAGAGCCTTGGCAACTCGTAAAGTAGATCCACCTGGACATATCTAGTACGCTTGTGATGGAAAACCCCCCTGGCAAATTGGCACCGTTTGTTACTCATACTCCCACGTCTGATGTAAACTCATGCTGACACATGGCAGCACTAGTGACATGTCCAGGCCGTGCGCTAGAGACCTGGGGCGGTGGACCAAGCCGCATCTTTCTCGCGGCCGGCGAAGAAGCGCGAAGAGAGATCATCTGTACAGTGCTTGGAGGTTCAGGGGAACACAGGGTTTAGGGTTTATTAGGGTTTAGGGTTTAGGGTTTAACTTGGAACTGCAATTACAAGTCCACTTATAACCCATTTAGAGGACTTGGGGGCTTAAAAGTACAGCTACAATTGGGGCGAGAATTGCACCTGAACCTCCAAGTAGGCTCTTCTTAGTAACGCTTACCGACAATCGCAGATAGGTGCTCTGACATGGCCCAAGCCCTAAGCCCCAAGCCCTATACCCTGAATCCTAAACCCTGAACCCGAAACCCGAAACCCGAAACCCGAAACCCGAAACCCTAACCCTCAGCCCTGAGTAGCAAGGCCTGGGGACGTCAGAGCCAAAAGCATCTTGTGGCCATGGGGGGGAGAGGCACAAAGGGAACCCAAGATGCGCCTGAAAAGTCCGAGCTGCTTGTTGTCCTGCACCCCAAACCTTTAACGTCCCTTCTTTAGGGTTTAGGGTTTCGGGTTTAGGGTTTAGGGAACCCTTAACCCCTTAGTAACCCTACTCCCTAAACCCTAAACCCTAAGCTCAGGAGAGCCGGGTAGCCCAAAACCCAAAACGCCCCGAAACCCTGAACCCCAAACCCTAAACCCCAAGCCCTAAACCTTAAAACCTAAACCCCAAACCCCAGACCCTAAACCCCAAACCCAAACCCCAAACCCTGAACATTAAACCCCAAACCCCCAACCCTAAAATCCTAAGCCCCAAACCCTCAAGCCTAAACCCTAAACCCTACTAAGCCCTAAACCCCCAAACCCTAAAACCCTAAGCCCCAAACCCTAAACCCTAAACCCTACTAAACCCTAAACCCCAAACCCTAAACCCTAAGCCCTAAAACCCTAAACCCTAAACCCTACTAAACCCTAAACCCTAAACCCCAAACTCCAAACCCGAACCCCTAAACCCTAAACGCAAGCAGCCATACCCTCGCAGATCTGCTGGGGTGGCGGCTTCACGCTCGGCCGTGGCCCTAGGAAGCCTCAGGGAGTAGGGTTTAGGGTTTAGGGTTTAGGGGTTTGGGTTTTTAGGGTTCAGGGTTCAGGGTTCAGGGGCTCACTTTAGGGTCTCGTGCTTGCGTGGGCCAAGGCCCCACCTTCGCCGGAGGACGGGTGTCTGGCTTGCAGCTTGCTGTCTTTTGGAAGCGGGGAGGAGGACAGAAGTGTCGGGTTTAGGGTTTTGGGTCTTGAAAAGAGAGAGAGAGAGAGAGGGTGAGAGAGAGAGAGAGACAGACAGACAGGGAGAGAGAGAGAGAGCGAGAGAGTGAGAGAGTAAGAGAGAGTGTGAAATAGAAAAAATGAGAGAGATCGGGTTGTGAGTGGAAGGGTTGCCGTTTGGAGAAAGTAGTGTTACCCTAGCGTATCCAAAGGTATGGTGCGATGACGATGCTGATGCTGCTGGCTCCTCCAGCTGCGCTCCGCCGTCCTGTGGCCTATCTCAAAGCAGTTTCAAGATCCGCATTTGGGGCACGCGGGCCGTAAACGACCATTATTGCTTGTTCACGCCGGCATCTAATTCTGCTGTTCTCAACCTGTCGAGACACAAACGACTACAGCCTAAACCTTTAGCCTCGAACCTCTGGTTCTTTCCCGAATGGGATACACACCACCCAAAATACTCTAATCCTTGTAGGAACTACCCCCAAACAAAAGGTACCCGGCCTTTTTTTCGGAAACCTCCATGCAGCCGCAGCCCTTTTGCTGTTTTGTTTGTATACGGCCAACGAGGTGTGGGAAAAGTTTTATGGGTTAGTTTCATCGGTTTACAAGGGCTCCCTCAACCCTAAACCCCAAACATCGAACTCCAAACCCTAAACCCTGAACCTAGAACCTTTTCAAGATTGAGAAAACTCACAGACCGCCAGCTTGCGATTTAGGGGTATTCCTAGACCCTAAGCCGGCGTGCTTAGCTCTTATGGGAAGCCATCAACAGTCATCTAGTATTTGCTAAGAGCCACCCAATAAATTCGACATATTCTTCCTTAGAAGGGCAATATAGGGATTATGATCTTTGCCGGGGCGCGTTCTTACGCAAACAGCAGTCATGCGCTGTAGCAAAGGAAATCCTCCTTTTGCTGTGTCTGACAGGCAACGTGTCTTCTACACCCGCGCGAGTTGGATGGGTGCATGCACCCAGGGCGACGACGCTTCGATTTCGCAGGGAAGTTTTGGGGTTCGGGTCGTTGGGATTCGGTTTGTCCGGTGACCAGGGTTTAGGGTTTGGGGTTTCGGGTTTGGGGGAAGTTTTGGGTTTCGGGTTGTTCGGTGACCAGCAGGCCAACACGAAGATGGCATCCCTAAACAAGATGCCATCCGTCCAGAACATGGAATCAGCATGCTGGAACGGGTGGGCGACTTTGCGTCTCCCTTGATACTCATGAGCTGCGGCGCTGCAGAAAAGAGCTTGCGCATGGTGGTTTAGCGTTTAGGGTTTAGGGTTTAGGGTTTGCTGAGGCATGTGTGGAGTACTCAGAGATGTCACAGAGGACCTCTGGCGTTGGGGTTCTGAGAAACTACCTGGACCCTACACACCCCAACAGCCCTCCAAAAAACGCTTTAGGAAGCGTCGAGCCTTAGCCATTCCCCTGCCACAGGCCCTTCCGGGTTTAGGGCTCAGGGCCCCGACATGTCCTAAACCCTAAAGGGTTTAGGGTTTAGGGTTTAGGGGTAGGTTTAGGGTTTAGGGTTTCGGGCTCAGTATGCAGTGTGACGAGACTAACTCTAAGGCTCCAAACAGCCCAAAGTGGGTTTTATTTGCAGACTTTAGACCCCAAGGTAGGGTAAAGTTGTATACTTGGAGCCTTTGGGATTAGGATTTAAAGCCAGTTTGAGCTTTGGGGGTTCATATTTGTCAAAAGGGTAGTTACATGGGCCCTTAATGAGGTCCCTTACCTTCTGTAAAGGGTTCTGAAGTATAGTTCAGGGACACCCACAGCACCATTTTGGGAGTTCGCGTTCTACTGGATCATCCTCCTAGTCCTTGAGGCTTAGGATTTAGGGTTTAGGGTTTAGGGTTTAGGGATCCCCAAATCGTAAACCTTCAACCCTGGGCCCCAATCCCCAAAACCGTTTACCAGGGTTTTTGGGGGCTTAGTGTTTGGTGGGGGCTTAGGGTTGGGGTTTAGGGTTTTGCTGAAGGTCCAGGCCCAGGTTCACGTTTGGGGATCAGCCCCTCACCCTAAACCCCTAAACCCCTAAACACTGAACTCCTAAACCTTAAACCCCTAACCCCTAAACCCCTAAGCCCCTAAACCCCTAAACCCTAGCCGGCTCGGGAGGCTCCTGCATCCGCGCCGGTTGTGGTCCGAGGGGCTGAGAGCGGAGGCCGGTTGTTTGAGGGGGGGGGGGGGGGGTGGTTTAGGGTTTATTAAGGGTAAAGGGTTTAGGGTTTAGGGTTTAGGGTTTAGGGCTCATAGGGTTTCGAGTTTATAGGGTTCAGGGCTTGTGTGGCTATTCATTTCTCGAACTTTTGGGGCTCGAGAACCATACTAGACCAGCCCGCCCCCTCCCAACCCACCCCAGACGAACCTCTTTCCGGAGCCCTAAGCCCGGTAAACCCTTAGCCCTAGACCCTAAACCCTAAATCCTAAACCCTACTCTGCTCCTTTCGGGTGGCAGGCTTGAGGGCAACCACCTCCCCCCTCTCCCACCGGAGCCCATGATAAGCTCCCGCCTCGTGAAGCCCTGTCATCCCTCTAGACCTGAAGCCTTAGAATCCCTACACTCTATACACCCCTAAGCCCTCTAAGCCCTCTAAGCCCTGAAGCCCCGAAGCCCTAAGCCTCGAAGCACCCAAGCCCTAAAACCCTCAACCCCCTAAACCCTAAGCTCGCGCAGCAGTAAAACTGTTAAACTATAGGGCAAACACCATTTAAAGTTTAATGGTGAGCCAAGTGAGTGGCCAAAAAGAGACTTTTGTGCTCCGTTCGATTCTCATGTCGCCCGTCTATCTCTGTCTGTATTCTTCTTCTTAGTATTATTATTAGTAGAATAACTATTGTTTTTGCTATTGTTGTTGTTATTGTTGTTGTTATTGTTCTTGTTATTGTTATTGTTATGGTTATGGTTTATGGTTTATGGTTTATGGTTATGGTTATGGTTCTGGTTATGGTTATGGTGATTCTATTGCAATTGCTATTGCTATTGCTATTGCTATTGCTATTGCTATTGCTATTGCTATTGCTATTGCTATTGTTATGGTTGTTGACATTGTTATTGTTACTGCTATTTAAAGGTGTACTGAGTGAATGAATGTGTGAACGGATGAAACCCACTAAAAGGGACAGGAAATAAGATATTGAACGCAGTCCGAATCACAATCCAGACATTCAATAGTGGGAAAATGAGTCAAAGAACTTATATTTTGAATGAGTCAAAGAACTATATTTTGGGTATTCCCATTGGAAGCATGCTGTTTCGTGTTCCTCGCGCTGTTTCTTGACTTAGTTTCGTATTATAGCGAGCCCAACCCTAAACCCCCAAGTCCCTAAACCCTAAACCCTAGCCCTAAACCCTAAACCCTAAACCAAAAAACACACACCAAGCGCTCAAAACCAGGCTCAGCCCCTGCCAAGTCGTCTGGCTTCACCCTCTCCACGTACGACGAGACCGAAGAGAACTTCAAGACTCCCCCGTCATGCCTGGGGTTTGGGGTTTAGGGTTCAGGTTTAGGGTTTAGGTTTAGGGTTTAGGGTTTCAGGTTTAGGGCTTACGGTTTAGGGTTTGGGGTTTCCGTTTGGGGTTTAGGGTTTAGGGCTGAGGGTTTCGGGCTGAGGGTTTGGGGTCTAGGGTCTGGGGTTTAGGGTTTAGGGTTTAGGGCTGAGGGTTTCGGGCTGAGGGTTTGGGGTGTAGGTTCTGGGCTTTAGGGTTTAGGGTTTAAGGCGTTCAGTTTAGGGTTTCGGGCTTGGGGTTTGGCGT